TCAGACTGGGCTGTCTCCTGCGCCTCTCCACCCATTCCTTGCGCCTCCTCGGACGCCCGAGGCGCTCCTTCCGAGGCCGCCTCATTGGGAGCTCGCCCCCCTTCTACTCCAGTTTCGGCCGCCTCCTCCATGAGACCTTCCTCTTGTACTTCCCCTTTCTCCTTTCCCGTGCGGTTATACCCCCCTTCCTGGCGCGCCAATTGTTTGTGCCACGGAACCTTCCCTTCAGCGCGCTCCGCCTCCTGCACACAAAGACGCCCACCGAGCCCTCCTGGGGGCTCGTTAGCACTCCGACGCCCAAGTCAGAGTCCCTTTCTAGAGAGAGAAGTCGAATATCAGTTTAGAGAGAAGTGCGAACCTGAGTAAATGAGCTCCACCCACTTCACTATTTATACCCGAGGGCGGGTCGACCAATTCCCCCCGAATCCGCCCTACGTCATCACCTCATTAAATGCACTGTACCTTGTTTCTCCGGGGCGCCCCGACATTCTGACACCAACTTGCCTTCTCGAGGCGCCCGGCCCCACACCTTGTCCCCTCCGTACGCTTCTGGCCGTTATCCCCTTTTGTCGCCATGCGCCCCTCTCCGGGCTTGGCCCCACCGCTCGGGCCTCAGTCATTGGTCCCTTCTTTTTGGGCCTGGCCTCTTCTTCGGCCCAAGATGGCCTCCTGGCTCTTTACTTGGGCCCTTTCTTCTCAGCACCCCAACAGGAAGTTAGAATCTCCCATGTTTTTAGGGAATGCAATCATGTTGCTGATTTCCTTGCTAGGAAGGGTCACCTTTCCCCTTTTGGCACACATCCTTTCGATGAGTGCGATCCTGAGTTTAGATACTGGTTGTCGTACGATATTATGGGGACTTCGCAATCCCGTTCTTTTATTAATATGAGTTGAGACGCTTTTGCGTCTGTCTTCCTACCAAAAAAAAAGAGATCAACCTGTGTAGTCTGTCTGTAATTGTGATTTAAAATTGAGTACAAAGTGCAACATTTCACTAATAAAAACATTTATGTTTAATTTGTGTTGTTAATAAAGTGTTAAAATTACGGTTTAATTTGAACTATGTCCAATGAGATATCGTCATATGTCATTCGTTTGTAAATATGATTTACAGGTGAATATACAACGCAGGATATACTATAATTGTTGATGTAAGTTCTTTCCCAAAATGTACAAATGTGATTAAGCTTTCTAATTTCTTCTAGTTTTAATCATTTGAAATAGAAAATTATAGATGATGAATATAAAGATGTAAATGATCACAATATATCTTTGCGAGAATAGAATGTCACAAGTTAGCATAACCTATCTGGGTAGGCTCTGGTGACAGGAGGCTTCTGGACAGTAGTTGAAATTTCTTGGATCGAGCGGGAAAAAAACATTCCGTTGCCGGGACTTGAACCCGGGTCTTTCGGGTGAGAGCCGAATATCCTGACCAACTAGACTACAACGGATTTTGACTATGTGTTAAGTAATACTTTATTTAATGGTGCCTCAAACTCTTTAAACTATAACACAGCGAAGAAAGGAGCCATTGCAGCTAGGGATGGCAACAAAACCCGAACCCACGGGTACCCACCCAACCCAACCCGGTCAACGCGGGTAAAATCCGTGTTGACGGGTTTTGGGCCGGGTTTGGGTTTAAACCCGTTCACTATTCACCGAGTTGGGTTGGGTTTGGGTTTATGTAAACCCGGCCCGTGGGTACCTGCCCACCCATATAATTAATTTTTTTGTATATTTAATATTCTAAACAACTAATCTTATTTATGTTTGTGGAGACATGTCTAATTTTTTCTTTTTAATTGTGTAGAATGAAGTTGATGTTATGGAGTGGGGAGTAAAGAAACTTAATTGAAAGGAAGAAGCTTTCAATTAAACATGTTATTTATGGATAATTTGTGATTTGTTTCAATTTTCTTGAGTTTTCTAGATTGGTGTTGAACAATTTGTATAGTTAATTTGTGATTTGCTTGAATTTTCTAGAATGGTGTTTTATATATGGATAATTTGTATTGAGAGATTGATATTTGACTTTAATTTTGATAAGAACTTGTAATTGTAAATTTTTTACGACAAAACCCGTGGGTACCCATGAACCCGCGGATACCCAACGGGTTGGGTTGGGTTTGAGTTTTTCAAACCCAGTGGGTTTTACCCCGGGTTTTTTTCAAAGATAAACCCATGAGTTTGGGTTTGGGTTTTGCAAAACCCGACCCAACCCGACCCATTACCATCCCTAATTGCAGCTAGGGATGTCAATCCAACCCGTAACCATGGGTACCCTACCCGACCGTAACCGGTCAACGAGGGTAATTATCCGCTTTGACGGGTTAAGGGGCGGGTACGGGTAATACCCGGTTTCAAAATAAAGGGTAGGGTACGGGTATGGTAATCGATAATACCCGCCCCGTTATACCCGCCCAGCTAACCAAAGGGTCAATTTCCCTTGAGAAATTTATTTTAGCTTGAGAAATTGAGTTTAGCTACCATTATTGATGATGAATATGTAGATGATTATTATGTTTGTGTGGATTGTAGAAGCAAGAACAATTATTATGTGTTTGTTGTTTTTATTTGTGTGGATTGTTGAAGCTAGAACAGTTACAACTTACAAATACTAGTAAGGAAAGCCCGCGCTTCGTGACGGGCGAAAATTTGTGATATGTGACGCACTACATATAGCAATTTTCATGAACGGGTACAAATAGTGCAAGCAAACACATTAACGGCGCCTTTGGTTGACATAATCATAGAGAGATCTGAAAGGTTTCCGAAATTTGTGCAAACTCATGAGAGTGATAGAACAGTAGGTCATAAAAGAAAAAAAAAATATGTCTTGTTGCTAAAATTTGCAGGCTCATATAGTTTATGCCAAAGATTACAACTTGTGAGCTTCATTTATGCATGTCATGGTAAAGTTGAAGCACAAAGTACAACTGTGTAAATTTCTGGCTAAAAAAGTGAAGACCTAACTAGACATCATGAAACATAAACATTGCTGGGCATTTAGAAGTTGTGCTGCAGCATTTGAACCAATTATGATTTATATCATGACACATTCAAGCACAAACATCAATTAGCATTCATCTTTAAAAAACAGACGCCAATCATCACAATGTATGGATTTGAAGCAAAGGGAAACAACTGATCAGTTAAGACGATCAATGCAGTGATTGCGGTCGTCCTTTTCACGACCTGACCTGACGTAGAGATCTCAAGTAAGCAGAAACAATTTTCACATCATCCTTTGGAAGGAAAGTCTCTCCTATCGATAAACACAACCATTAGCTTTCAGCAAAGAAATCCCTCCCATAGATAAACCACATCTTCATTCAATTATAATTCATTCCATTGCACACTTTGACTTATGATGAGAATGTTAGAAGTACCAATCTCAACGACAACAGGATCTGAAACACTATTTTGCCTAACCTTACTTATAATGCAACGCTCGTGCCAAGGAAAAAAAAACACGAAGCCAAATTCTACAGCATGATTACCATCTCAAAAGTTAACCAACCCACCTAGCCGCCTTCCCATATTTTCTGCTGCAATATTCAGCGCAACTCATCTCCTATAATTTTGCCCCTCATCAACAAAAACAATATGGATCATCATCCTGTGCAAGTGCAACCAAAGGAAGTATGAATAATCAGATGAGGAATTTCTATGATTGATATGCAAAAGCGTACAGCAAAGGAAAATTGGAATCAAACAAAACAATATGGTTCAAGTCCAATCATTAATTTGTATATTGTGGCTTCCTCACTGAAAGCAACCAAACAAAAAAAAAAAGAGTAAAGAAGTGAGGGGCTTCTCACGCATGGCGAACTAAGGTGTCATAGTGTTCTTCTTGTTCATTAAGGAGCTAAAGAGCGTAGAGCTGGACCCCTGAACTTCCTAAAGTGTCGGTCACAGTCTATTGCTATCATTGCCTCTCATGGCAACATAATCAAAACTATAGTTCTGCAGGAAAGTTCTCCACTTTCAGGTGTAGCTGCAGTTTAGCAAAAGAGAGGATCATGAATTAGATTCCCAAAAACAGCTTAGCAAACCCAAAAAATAAAGTTGGAACCATGGGATATTTCTTGTAAACTTTAAGATGGTTTGCCAAGCCTGATTTGTACGCAGATCCTTCCGAGCATAAAGCTGAAACAAAATCAATGTAAGCAACCACTTAACCCATACACAACAGAAGCCAAATTTCTATAAACGACTAACCTTTTTATTTTGAAAACCTGATAGCACATGGTAATGGTAGGAGAGCAGTAAACAGCAGTTGTGTATAACAAAATACTCACACCAAGTTGCTGGTACTGGTAGGAGAACAAAAAACTATGGCAATTTCTCATCTTGGTAGGTTTGGCAGCAATCATGCAAGGAACACAATGAACACACCTTTTTATTGGCCTAAGCATCTGCAATATAGTTGCTTGACGGTGGGTCAGTTTCCTAACGGCACAACATTCACCATCAGGAAACCACAAGAAAGACTAACTGAATCACAAGCCAAAGGCAAAATATGGGAAGCATAAAGGGATTAGAAGGTATGACCAAAACACATCCAGATTCATAGAAAGAAAGAAAAAGTTCGTAGAAAGGCCTTTCATGTTAGAAGTACCCATTGCCATCCCTAATTGCAGCCTTCACGAGTCACGACGGGATTGGCACTGCACTGCAGCTTGCTAGCAAGGGGATCCGCGTCAATGTTGCGGCTCCTGGCCTCGTTTGAACCCCATTGCAATGCAACCAGCTTCCATGCCTGATGATAGCATGAAAGGCCTTGGGAGTTGGGTCGTCGCTCCCTGTGAGAAGGGCTCACGAAATCGCGCTTTGCTATATGTGTTCTTGGCCTGCAACGGGTGCTCGTCTTACTTCACTGGCAAGTTATGCACCCCAATGGCGATTGTGAATAGATATTTAACCAGTCACTACATACTACCTAACTACCCTTACCTATTTGTGTCAATTTCTTTCTTGTGGTCTCTGTTTCTAAAATTGGCATATTTCACTTCAGGTTATTGCAGTACATGGCATTACACTCATAGTTAGGAGAGTTGGGAAATAAAAGCCTTTGTAACACCAACTCTTCTCTCGATGCAGAAAAAGAAAGCTTCCCTTTGTTTTTTCTCCTTTCTTATACATATATAGCAACATAATCTTTGTCTCTTCATTTTCAATTTCAGAACTGCAGATAAAGCCTGTAACATTGATCAATACTCAGAATCCAACACGAAATTATAATATACTTAAATTAAGGATTAGCCTCGGAGGCTAGTTTACAGGTAAGTTGTTCCAAAGTTCGAAACTTATCACCGGATCCTCCGTAATGGGAGAGTCTTGGAGATCAGTAGAAGGCTCGTAAATGCTCGCTCAAGAGGCTAATCGGTTATGGCAAAAAAATGCAGGACGCAAAGACCCATCAAGGGAATTGGTTTTCTTCAATCTTCGAAAAGCCGTCACTTGCATATTTGCTCTTCTCTAGCATCCATTTCTTCAGAAAGAAAGCACACGGTTGTTGAAAGACTCTTGAAAATGGCGGATTGCACTCAACTGCAACAATCAATGACCCATCTGAAAGAAGGGAACGGGGAAACAGGTTACCAAGGAAGTGGTGAGGAAGAAAGATCACTAGCTCCAAGTGTTCCTACACACCTGGAGATGAGAAACTTTTGAATGGCAAGGGACAGGTGTGGAAGGGCGGTGGCCACCGAGGCTGATCTCCTCCATTGCCTCGTCTTTCTGGAGAGCTCTAGCAAGAGAATTGTCCTCCACATTTTTCCCCTTGAAGCAGAAACTTGAGCCGGTTTCCCCGGAACCAGCTGGGCTGCTGCGTTTCGAGGAGGAAAGCTCTAATCTTTCCACCATTCTTGCAACGCCTGCAATTCCGGCACTCATTTCTCGCTGGACTCCTTTGCTCAGTTCTTTAACCGAGTTGTTACGTGCAAGCAACTTTTCCTTTATACCTTGAGTGCCCTTCGTGATCGATTCCTTGTATTTGGATGAAGCAGCAACCCATTTGGATTTGATGGAGTCAGACAATGACACAATCCTCGAAGAACCTGGCTCGTCGGGGCTTTCGGATTGTGACTGTCCGAAGAGAATCCTGCATTACCATAAAGCCCGAAAAATCATAAAGAGAGCAATCATACGGCTGGCAAGAACCAATGAGTGCCCTGATTCAACCAGATAGAAAATGAGGAGAGGTCGAGTCATGATCCCATACCCAGTCCTGAACAGGCCATTGGGGCGATCATAGGAAATCGCGTCCTCGGAGTTCCTGAGGTGGGTAAGTGACGGTATGGGAGAAGTTGGTGAAGCACTTCCAGATGAGGCAGGACTCAAACTGAGGCCACCAGATGAAATTTGCTGATCATTCCTGAAATCAACCGCATGGGGTTCAAAGACGAACACCCTGGAAGTACCGAGTCGAGGTGGGGACCTATTCTCCCTCCTCTGGAACTGGCGAGCTCTGTACACAGCTGCAGCAAGATGCTGCCCTATACGCTCGTCAAAGTCCGAATCATCTGAGTAGGAGTCCTGAAATGGGACAACTAGAGGATTCAAGGAGAAGGCTTTATACAAGGCAACATGCAACATGATTGAAGTCATTGAAGAGATGCTTTTCAGTCACACTGTGTGCATTCAATCGATTAAATTACCTGTTCTACATCAAAATTGTCAAAGAGATAAGGTCTGGTGGCGGATGCAGGACGAGATAGGATCGTTAACCTCGAATGCCTCTCGGCCGCAACAGCAGCTAACAACTCTTGACTACGCAAAGGCAATCAGGAAGCCATTCATCAAGCAGAATTAGCCAAATATACCTGCCGTGCCTCGATGAAAACACAAGAAATTGAACAGGTACCTGGATTGTTCTTTCAGGGAAAGGAGCTGCCAACAAATTGGGCATTCTTTGCTTCTCTGGCACCTGAGGAGAGTTGAAAAGAAACAAAACAAAACATCAATCAATCATTCTACAAGATGTATCTGGCCAGCAAATTCAACGCAATAGTTCAACAGCATACCAATCGAGAATGCACTGCAGATGGTACTCATGCTTGCAATTGGTCACCTGAGTCAAACAGGCAACATATCAAAAAAATGAACAAAAAAAGTAACTAATCACCAAAACTGAAACAAACCCAGTAACTGATCAGCTCCAAACAGGACAAAGGGAACATAAAGATCACAACTTTACATCACTCCCAACACTTTTAGAATCACATTATTGTTAAAAGAAAACCCAATCATCCCTAAACAAGAACGATCGAATAATGGAGTGAAAGAGTGATGATTTTACAGTGGCGGGGTCTTGCACAGTGAAAGGCTCGAGGCAGATGCTGCAGGATTCTTCATAACTGTCGTCCATAACTTTAGAAGCTGGAGAAGGCCCAGCAATTGACATGATTGGGAGGTCACAGGCAGCCATTGAAGAGGTGAGAGATGAAGGAGAGAGGAGACTGGGGGTTTTGGGAATGAGGGAGAACCCTAAAATTGGAAAAGAGAGATGGGATTGGAATGAAGGACGAAGCGCGAGATGGCTTTGCTTTGGGCTAGAGAAAGGGAAAGGGGGGAAAAGGGAAGGCGTTATATATTGAGGGAGTCAAAGAAAAACTGCAGAGAGATGACGGGTGAGTTTGCTTTGTCGGAATCCAAAGTGTTTTGGGTTGGTTTTCTACTTCCACTTTGGAATTTCCACCCTTTGTTTCCTTTCCCTCTTTGTTTTAATCAAATAGAAAACGCTCTGAGCCCTTGCTTTATCTCTTTCCTTTTGTTTTTTTCTTTGCTAATCTTCTTTTCCCCATTTGCATATTACATGTGTGCACGACTCAATTGTTCTTAATTTCTTATAACCTTGCCAGCTAAATTACACGTTTGGTCACTCGAATTACATAAATTTTTCACTTTTGTCATTCAAATTACTTTTTTTTCATATTAGTCACTAACTTTACGATTCGTTTCACTGTTAGTCACCCTCCATCAGTCTCCATCAGACTCCATTAACACCGTCAAATTTTTGATGACATGGCAAACAAAAGTGCTGACTGAGCATTAACTTAATGACGTGTCAATAAAAAAAAAGATTCCACCTCATTCTCTCCTCACAACAACCTTTTTCTTCTCCTTCCTCTTCGCACGTGCAGCAGCCAAAACAGAGATCAGCGGTGCCATCGATCTCCCCATCACGTCGGCGAGGTACATGTTACCACCACCGTCGAATCAAGTTTCAGTGGAGCCACAGTCATCTTCTCCCGCAACCGCTCGTTGCTTTTTCCTCATCCTGGTGCCGCTCGTTGTCGTAAACTCTGCCGCCTTCAGCAACCTAGTCCGACGCACCACAAACTTTCTCGTCGCATTCGGAGCCGCCACCATCTCGCCAAGACCAGTTGATATAGCCTCCTCTCCAGACCGTCGCTACAACCTCAGCCCGGAATCCAACCCATCGTCATCGTCGCTGCACGTGTCAGCATCGATCCGCCGTTGTCGTCGTCCCCAGTTTCTTATTCCAGATCTAGGGAAATCTTCCAAAATACACCACCCCTAAAAATCAAAATTAAAACTCCTCAAACTTGGAATCAAACAAAACCCCCTAAAAATCGACCAAGCATTGAGAAGGAACAAAGTACGGCCAATTTAGTCACGTACCATCCACGTTATGAGACGTACCTCGTCAAGGCAAGCTTGTTTGGGGTTCTGCCATTGGTCCCTATTACTGCTGATCGGGGTTTGATTACTGCGCTCGTAGAGCATTGGCGACCCGAGACATCGACCTTCCACATGCCATTTGGTGAGGTGACGATCACTTTAGAGGACATTACTAGACCGGTGATGCCGTCATAGTAGACATACCAGACGAGGACTGGTCAGAGATGTGTGTTCGACTGTTAGGACGGGCTCCTACTGATCTTTCCCACGGTGCCATTAGGATTGCTTGGCTCAGGGATTCATTCGATCATCTACCGGCAGATGCATCACCAGAGACTACATAGCATTTTGCACGAGCTTATGCTCTATCTCTAATAGGAGGAGTACTGTTCCCCGATCGGCCTAGAGCTTCAATTCATCTACAGTACCTACTCTGGGTGGAGGATTGGCACAAAGCTGGGAGGTTCGCCTGGGGAACATCTGTTCTATCCTACATGTACCGTGAGATGGGTAGGTCAGTGCTGCAAATGACACAGTCCTCTTCAACAGGTGGTGACCTTGGTGGATGGTCCGCCTTACTGCAGCTCGGGGCATGGGAGCAATTTTCATATACAGCACCACTACATACAGAGACGGGGGCGCAGATTACCGAGGACGCATTCCCACATGGTGTTCGATGGCTTTCGGCCCAAACCCGTCAGCATGGTAATCAGTTCTACTAGTACAAGTTGTGGTTTGATGATAGCACGACCTTCGTGGTTAGTATATAACATTTTATTTTACAGAATAGTTTTCATTGGTTTGTTTTAGAATTAGGAGTAATTATGTGACCAATTCTTGTGTGTAGTCAGTAGTGGCATCCTTACTTTGAGAGAGCTTAGGACCTCAACGGTAGTGTGATCCAGTCTGATACGTTTTGAGCAGAAGTTCCACTGGTCTACTTTTCATCGCTGATGTGGCACCATCCAGACTGCGTGCTCGGACAGTTTGGCATGATGCAGGATGAGCCTCATCAGCCACATCCCGCTGCTGAGATTAGGTTTTTCCTTCGCCAGGGCCAACATGGGCTATCGCGTGGGCAGCAGTTGATACAAGCAGCCAGTGAGTCGATTGATTTGTGGAACCGTCAACATGAGTTCATCGCGCGTATGAGCTACAGTGATGTCTCTTTAGGACACCACTCGGAGCATCTAGAGTGGTATCGAGATGTTACCAGACGTGCAGGCACACGGAGAGGAGGTGCAATTAACACATCCGCCAGTGAGACTATTATGCTACTATTATGTATTATGTTATTATTGTCTATGGTTATTATTATATACTTCTATGGTTATTATGTCATAGTAGTTGTGGACTATTTTTAATTTCATGATGGATTATTTTACTATTATGTATTATGTTATTATTGTCTAAAATTAAAACTTTAACTATAAAAACAACAAACAACAACAAGTAGGGCATTTTATAAAATTCCTAACAACAACATAAAAGTTCCAGACAACTTCATAGGAAACCATAACAACATCAAACAATAACTACTTCTGGGAAAAAAACAACTACTACATTTGATATAAGTTCCACCAAACTACATAACACGTCTATTACCACTACTTCCTCTTCTACCACCTATCGCACGTCGTTGTCTACTGTTTCCTCTTTGCTGGCTCCCACTGCCACTTGCTTGGCCACCACAAGTTGATGCATTATGTCCATATTGGTTGTAGTTGCTACACACTTGTTGTGATACACCCTCTCTTGGTCAATCCATCTCCTTGTGAATTCTTGTTGTTCGTGGCCTCCCCGACTTCCTAATCATGTACACATTAGGATGGAGAGTAGGGCCATTATGCTTCTTCCAACCCTTAGGTTCACCAAGAGGTGTGAAACTTGTCCCATAACAAGCCAACATTGTTTCAAGCTTGTAGACGTCATTTAAACCTATATGGATTAGCCCCCATTCGGTTGCAAGTTGCAATGGCAAAAGAGCAATGAATTTTATTTACTTGAAATTTACCACAAGTGAAAAATCTCGCCCGATTGTTGTCGTCGAAGTGCACTATGAGTGTGTTCGAACCCGTCATGTTGAAGTTGTTGGGATGAGTCTGAGCTATATAGATGCCTTAAAGTCGATCAACCCCCGCCATGGAATGTCCAACTGCCTTTTGTGGCCACGACTTCATCAGCTCTTCGCATGGGATGGTGTACTGTGAACGACCACTTCTCATTTGTGCTTCTGTCTCCAACCTCATCTTATCGAAATTCTCCAACAGATGCCAATAAGTATGTTGCATAAGAGAAGCTATAGTAAGTGAACGAATACTTTTGAAAACACCATCGATGCTCTATGCCATGTTGGATGTCATGATAGACCATCGACGCCCACCATTACAGTTATCATGTGCTAAGCTCAACGAATTTGACTTTGGTCCACCCAGTTATCACAAGAAATATTTCTATCGGTGACCATCTTCTTAAATTGCTCAACTTGACGATCGATGTTCTCCAAACGTTTTTCTTCGACTAACAAAATAAATAACCACACGAGTTAGATAAATTCATGAAAAAATTAAATGAAAATAAATAACACAATTAAATGAAGAAGGATTACCGACTCGAAATAGTTGCTTATACATAATCCTGCTTTTAGTCTTCCTTGGCAAATTGCTTGCATAGTGTCGCATGCACCACATCCACTCCCAACCTCTTCCGATGTCACTCATGGCTTCATAGAGTCCCGCATGTCTATCTGAGATGATGCAGATATCATTTTGATTGGTCAAACCTTGAACGTGACTTATGAACCATGGCCAACTTTCGACCATCAAATGAGCTCGTCATGAGTAGCACTCCTTTATACTTTCCAGTAAGAAATGTTCCATCAACAACCATTACTCCTGGACAATTCTTGAATCCATCTATACAAGGTCCATAAGCCCAGAATACTCGCTGAAAGATCAAATGACCTGGTTGCGATGAAGGAACTCTTACCCAATCAATCACTAATGTTGGCATTTTTCTCTTTACCACCCGCAAGAATGTTTGCAAATAATCGTAGGATTCTTCTCAATTTCCATGCAACTTCTCCAATGCTCTTTGTTTCCCATACCAAGCCTTCTTGTAAGTAACTTGCATATTAAACTTATCTTTCAACTCGGCCTGCACAGTTATAACACTCAGATTTAGTTGGGCACGTACCAAATGTTTCACGGACTCATATATAACGTCGACATCAAGATGGCTATGATCCGTCGGTTGAGTCGTACTGCTACAAGAATCCACTAATTCAGCTTTTCTCACAGTCCATTCGCTTCCAACATCTCGACATCCAAACCGCACCATCCAAGGACAATTGTCATCATTGTGCTTCAAGCATCTGACCTTCCAGATTGAAGGTGATGACTCCACCACGCCATACTGAAAGTTGCATTGTAGTGCGTGGTGTTTAATCGCCACCTGTGCAGCTTGTTTTGAGTGAAATATCTGCCCCTTGTAGAATTCTCCTTCAAAACCAGCAACAATAGGCACTAGAATTACGTCATATGAATCAGTATATGATAATTCGTCGTCCACTTCATAACCCTACAAGTAAAAATATGGAGGATAATTAGCCTTCTCTCCTTCCCCATCTTCTTCCTCCTCCTCCTCCTCTCCGTCAACATCGTCATGATCGGATGGCATGCTCCATGTCTCATCTTCTTCCTCTCCACCATGATCCTCACTGAGCTCACCATGTATCTCAGCACCCAAACAATAAGGGTTTTGTGCCATAAAATTCCAAAGCGCATTCAAGCTATCATTATCCACAATAGACATCGCATAATGAAATAAAACACCATTCTGTCATTCTGGAAGATAGTAAGTGAAACATGTGATCACATCACTATCTTGTACTGCTTTGTCTTTACACAGTATTCTCTGAATTAGATTCTCATAAAGTTAGTGATTTGTCACCCTGGATGGCACCGTCAACTGAATTTTCTACCACAAACGAAATGGACGCCCAAATTATCCTCTACTTTCTCCGATTTCCATCGAACGACTAGTTCAAATCTTCTAAAATCACTACATAAAAAAAAACTCACTAATTACTAACTAAACAAAATCATAGCTGCATTTGAAGAATATAATTAAAAAAATAAATGTGTCTCTTACCTATTGGTCATCTTTGCAGCAACCAGAGCTTTTCTTGTACATCGATTTTTTTTTTGTGGTGAATAAACTGAAGGGGAAAATCATTGGGTTATATGGGTGCTGGAGTGGGTGGGTAAGGCAGCGAACCCCCCTCAGTCTCAGGCGCCTACGCTAGGTGAGATTTCCCACCAAAGGAAGTGCGCCTACGCCCCAATCTCGGGCGCCCACATTCGAATTGGTTAAAAAAAATTAAATAGCGACTCAACCTGAGTGTGGGGCTGACATACTATTTTTCTCTCTCAAAACACAATATTTGTGTCAATAGTTTTTAAACCGTCATATCAATAGTAAAATAAAAATAATATTTGTGGAATTCTCCCGCAACAAACCAACCCTAATCTACTCTCTTATTTATCTTATATTAGGGGTGGGAAACGGTGCGGTTAACTGCACCGCAATTTGCGATTAACTGCACCGCAATTTGCGGTTAACTGCAACCGCAAAACACCCATATCAGCCAACCGCGACCGTTAGCGGTTAACCAAAAACCACAGAACGCGGTTAGCGGTGAATCGTGGTTTATGGTTGTAAAAACCACAACAACCGAAACAGTATACGAAACCGCGGTTAAGCAATCTAACCGACAATTAACCGCAAAAAATTCATGAAAAAAAAAACACAGCAGCTAGTGTTTTGTCTATTTTCACTTCCATCAAGCCCCTGCATCTGTCTGCATATCCAAATAACACAATCCACAAATGCACACGCCGGACGGCCAGGGACGGCGGCGGGCGGATGGCAGCGGCGCAGCGCCGCAGCGGGAAGATGGGAAGGGTTGAAGCTCGACTCGAAGGGTTTTCAGTTGCTGGTGGGAAGGGTCGAAGGGGATTTTTGATTTTTGTTTTGTCAAATCAAAACGGCGGCAGGGAGAAGTGGGGGAGGGGCCGGGTCGGGTTTGGGCTGCTGCCTGCTGGGCTGGGGTCAACTTTGGGCTGAGCTGGGGGTCAATTATGGGCTGGGTCTGGGTCGCGGTTAGCCTTGCGGTTATATGAATTTGCGGTTTCGGTTGCGGTTAAACCGCAAACCGCAAAACAACCCATATCTCCAACCGCGACCGCAAAATAGGCAAAATATGCGGTTCGCGGTTAACCAATAACCACGCGATTTTGGTGCGGTTATTGGTTAACCGCAAACCGCAACCGTTTTCCCAGCCCTATCTTATATCCTCTTGTTTCAGCCGTTTCACGATTGATCGGGAAAGTTAAATAATAGTGAATCCGTTATAATTGGAGGGACCAAATCTACAAATCCAAGATAAATCAATTAAAATATAAGTAAAGAATTAAAAAAATGGCTTTGATGTGTGAAAAGATAGAATATTTGATTATTTGTAATCCCGTCTTGTTCGTGTCTCATTTGTCTCTGGATCATTCCGCCGTTCGTCCGACGCCAACGCTCAGCGTTAATCTAACGAATCCTCCGAACCCGAAGATCACGTCAGAAAAGTTAAAAAGATTTCATTTTTCTCCCTAATTAATTAATGGGTCCCACTGTTTTATCCACGTCGGCAGCACTTCCCGCAATTCCCGGACTATTATCTACTTGCCCCGGCGAGGGAAGAGAAACTGAGATTTCTAGCTCAGTTGTCATTCCGAGGCAGTGCTCAGCTCCTTCCTCGGTCCAAATCGTTGGCAGGATTTCAATTCGTCGGTGGTTCAACTTCAAACCTTTACGGGCGGTTCTGCAGACTTCTCATGTTCTTCGAGAGGAAGGGGAATCACGACAAGACGACGGCGGCGGTCTTACGACTCTGCGTGAAATCTGCCGAGGGCACGTGCCGGAGCACGTGCTGAGCAGGTAAAATATGCGTAAAGCTTCAATCTTTTTGTTTGGGGGGCGATTGCTGATGAGGGATTTTTGTGTAGGGCGGAAGGGTTTGGATACGTTATGCCGACGGATGTGCAGAGCCACGCTCCGCCTGTTCTGCTTAGTGGGCGGGACTGTGTAATTCATGCTCAGGTTGGGCTATGTGCTTATTCAGAGAAACTGTTTTTGAGGGATTTTCTGGCATTTCTTTGATGGGGATAAACTACTGTGTTTGGGTTTTGGTGTCATAGACAGGTTCTGGGAAGACGCTGGCTTACTTGCTGCTGGTATTCTCAGTTTTGAAAGCTCGGAGATCAGCTGTGCAGGCACTGATCGTGGTGCCTACCCGGGAGCTAGGAATGCAAGTAAGAATCTTGGTGATCATTTTTAGTAAAATTTGTTGTAGTTGTTGTTGGATTGTGGAATTGGCATGGGTTCTGCTGAATGAGAATACCCGATACCTTGCGTTTTTTGGTTTTGTGTATGAGTGAAGGTCACAAAAGTGGCTCGAATGTTGGCTTCAAAGGCTGTGGGTGATAAATTGGAGGAGAAGTCGTCGTGCACTGTCATGGCGCTTTTAGATGGAGGGATGTTGAGAAGACATAAGAGTTGGTTAAAGGTGATGCAAATGACTCTTAATGTAATAATGTGAGTACATGGATCTGAAAATCATTTGCTGAAGGGAGTATCTGATTTTTCTTTTTCCAGACAGAACCACCTACTGTTGTGGTAGCAACAATAGCGAGTTTGTGCCAAATGCTTGATAAGCAGATATTTAAGCTTGATGCGCTGGAGGTTCTGGTTATAGATGAGGTAGGCTGTTTGTACTTTCAAATGGATCACAAAGTTGATTCCTTAGAGCTAATCTCTACATTTGTTCTTTGACCTAGGTAGATTTCTTGTTTAACTCTTCGAAGCAAGTCAGTTCCCTTAAAAAGCTTTTGACATCGTATTCATCAAGCAATGAACGTCAAACTGTTTTTGCTAGTGCAACCATCCCGCAGCACAAACGATTTGTATGACTACATACAACAGAAGTGGACAAAGGTCTGTTTTGGTCATAGTTCTATTTAAAAATACTTGCCAAAAAAGGATCAGCTTTCCCATAGTAAGTTCACTGATGTTCTGCTACTCTGCTGCTTACTTAAAGAGAGATGTGGTCCATGTGCATGTCAATGCCATTAAGCCATTGCCATCCTGCTTGCAACACAAATTTGTGGTAAGTAGAATTCTTTTGAATGTCATCAATGGCCTTGTCTGAATGAGTGATCTTTGGGTCTTTCCTAATACTGCGTCACTTTCACAGGTATGCACTAAAAAGCAAAAACATGCAATTCTGCTTTCCTTGTTACATTCTGATGCCCCCATGTCGGCAATTGTTTTTGTTGGTGAACAGGTTTGTGTATAAAGTCCATTGGTCTACTATATGCAACTATTTCTTGATAATTACTCTTAAGCATGAATTTGTTTATCTTCTTTGTTCCTCATGCAGTCTGAGAAGTCAAAAAAGGCTGGGAATGCTGCATCAACTGTTCTTCTAGTTGTTTTCTTGAATACTTCTTATAGAGGTAGCTCAGATGTCCTGCTTTTGGAGGAGGACATGAATTTCAATTCTCGGGCAGCTTCACTTTCAGTAAGTATAATTTGTAGTAATCTTCATTTTGAATGATTGGGAGTGCAACCTTAATGTAGGATTGACTCGGGTAACCATGTTTGCTAAAGAAATTCACACGATTTGCCCCTGGAATACAGGAATTGAGACAAGGGGAAGGTTATCTTCTTGTAGCAACAGATATAGCTGCAAGAGGAGTGGACCTGCCTGAAACAACTCATATCTACAACTTTGATCTACCATACCAAGAACTGCTGTTGACTACCTTCATCGAGCTGGAAGAACAGGTAGGAAACCCTTTTCAGATGAGAAATGTAATGTTACCAACATTATTGTGCTGGAGGAGCGATTCGTTTTGCAAAGATATGAGAACGAACTGATGTTTAACTGCGAAGAAGTAATCATTTGATTCAAGTGTTGGCCCTTTTATTCTGGAATCAAGTTGTTGCATACATTTTCCGTACTCTAATTCGTCTTTTTCTTGTGGAGAAAAAGATTTGATATTCTATCGGTTTAGTAGATCAGAAAGAACTTAACATGTTGTATTACTGTTCGGAACTTGGGCCTTATCAGTATCTTCTGCTAACTCACATTTCAAACAAAAACAAAGAATTGTAAGGGTGAAGGAATTTATTATTTATATTACAAGTCCATCTTCAATGACTGCGTTTTTAAAAATAACTGTAACCCCAGATCGAATGTAGAAGCCTTCAGAAGTTCTGTCAGCCTCTTGTATTCCCTGTATAAACAAAACAGAACCATATACACAGCAGAGTCAGAGCAGTCCTCAATAATACTTTTGATGTAAACGAAGTTTTGGAGCTCTCAGGTGTACCTCTGAGTTAGCAATGATAACATTCTTCCCAATTCGGGCATTTTTGTCAATAATGCATTCTCTGGACAAGGGGTAGCAAAACTTAACATGAGTCAAATGAAGAAAAAGGATAATGCCTAACAGGCGTTGGGAAGAAAGAACAACTGCAGTGTCACTGCTTGCTAACTGTACCTGATTTTTGTGTTTTCTCCTATCCCAATAGGGACTCTTCCTTCTGCCACCAATGAAGCTACTTCATCTTCAGTTTCATAGAAGTCAGCTCCTAACATAACTGTGTCCTGCAATTACTCATTTTTTGTGATGTTTTAGTCTCAGCTCTTAAAAGGCTAAGCAAGGAGGGAATTCAGAATTTGAAAGAAACACAACCTTTAGTTGGACATTAGAGTTGATTTTAGATCGAATGCCAACAACACTGTGTTCAATGTAGCAGTCTGTCAAGAAGCTTCCGTGTGAGATGATTGAATCGACGATCTGCCGCAGAAAAAACAATGGTAAGTAAATAACATTCGTTATCAAATGCATGTAGAAAGTGTGTTTTTACCTTGCTTTTGTGAATGTTGCTAGGTGGCAGGTTTCTCCTTGATGTGTAAATTGGCTTCGCAGCATCATAGAAACTAAACCTCGGTGGCTGCAAGAATGAGAACGTATGAGAAAATTCTCTTTTCTGGGAGATGGGAATAAACCTAAACTCAACAAAACAATAATCAACTTACATGCTCTGTAAGAGCGAGATTTGCCTCGAAGAATGACCGAACAGTTCCAATGTCTTCCCAGTAATCATTGAACAAGTAAGCCTGCAATGTTGTTTATAGAGAAGAGAGCCATAGTCCAGTAAGTATCACTTCTTTCGTTACCTCTCATGTTTTTTAGAAAGATAAAGTAGTTGACAGTGGATCAAAAAGCTTGCACCTTTACATGGTACTCGCTCGCTGAAGCTGGGATTATTTCGGATCCAAAGTCATTAGCTGTTGGGAATCGCCATCTGATCCAAACATCACAGTGAACTTTCAATTAGTTTTGACTGCTAATATCCCTCCATTGATTTCCCTGGGGGGAGGTCGGGATACTGAGTAGGTACCTGAGAAGATTGAGCAGTATCTCTTTCTTGAAGAGGTAAACTCCCATGGAGGCAATGTATGGTTTCTTTACAGCTTCATCTTTGGAGAGCCCTAGCACTGTAGTATCAACTGCCTAAATATGATTGTTTTTACTTGTCAACCCTGATCAGCTTTTCTGTTTCTGCAAGTCAATGCAAGAGAGAAAAGAGAAGCTAAGGGTAAAAGACTTACCATTGCCTTGAGCTCTTTTCCTCTAGGCTTTTCACTAAAGGAGAGGACCCTTCCCTTGTTGTCTATCTTCATTAGACCAAAGTCTGATGCACGTCTATCATGAAAAAGGCACAAAGAGAAGGTCCCAGAAGTTCATTGATTAACAGATCATATAATAAGCTCTGATGACTGAAACCAGTGGCCATTGGCCAAGATTGATTCTTCACATACTTGTCATCTATCGGCAGAGAAGAAATGGTGATGTCTGCTCCACTCTGCCTATGGTTCTACAATCATGAAGATCAATCATCCATTGGATGAAAAACTGAAATTCTTTGCAGGAGGTTTTGCTTTTGAAATGCAAGTTGATAGAGGTACCTGAACAAAGTCCATGTAGTCCATACGATAGAGATGATCTCCTGACAGTATCAGCACATCCTCAATCTCCTTACTCCTTGCATCCTATTTCGTCCGGAAAAAATCTAAATTTTGAGTTTCTATTGTGCTGGAAATTGAAGTGGCAGAAGCTGGTCAGACCTCTTTGTGCCATTGCTCATTTGAACTCACCTCGAACAACCAATGGAATTGTCGAACCGCATCTGCAGTCCCTTGAAACCACTTATTTCCAGTCTCCCCTGGTGTTTGAGTTGCAGCCAGCGCCTGTCAAGATCCAAAAAGTTTTTGTTCTCATGATCTCTTTAGTTTCTGCAGAAGAGGCAAATATGCATTTTCTGCTATTTGTGTACCTCCACATAGCCGTCTCCAAAGTTGGTTCCACTGCCAAAGTTGTAAGCTCGAGCAAGATGCCTGTTTAGCGAAGCAGAGTTGTACTGAGTGAGAATGTAGACCTTGTTGATCCCGCTGTTGATGCAGTTGCTCATTGGCACATCGATTAGCCGATATGCACCTCCGATCGGGACCTGCCATGTTCAGTACATAAAAGAAACTATGAAGGTACCTCAAATCGAGAAGGCAATCTCATAGTTGTTGGTGTACAAAGATACATAGCTAAGTGCTCCAATTTGTTACTTCGAGAAGAAGATATTCGAATGCCAGTTGAAGGGAAAACAGAGGAACAATGAGCAAGCACTTACAGCAGGCTTGGCTCGGCGTTTAGTGAGAGGGAAGAGGCGAGTACCAGCTCCTCCTCCTAGAATAACTGCAACAACCGTCCTTGGGTCCCTTCTCTCCATCTCAACATCCCTCAACTGTAGCAACAAAGTTCCAACATTTATCAACACCTCAAAATCAAGAAACAATCTGAAGACCAAATCCACATTCCGCCATTAATAGTGATTGAGAGAGCTAGCCTGACCGACCTTAGACCCAAATAAATCAGCCGCGACCGACATGATTGCAGGTTGCTTAGCAACTTTGTTACAGCAACTCCTTCTGTGAGAAGAAACCAGTGATGGTGTGGTTTTGAGCTTGCTTCCCATGAACTCTCCATTCCCAAACTTAACAACCCTCGACGAAGAAGAACTCCTCCTCACCGGCATGGCCAGCCCATTGCTGCCGTGGGACGCGGTCAGGGAGAACCGGCAGTCTGCTGACACTGCCGCCATGTTGCTAGGCAGGCCGGCCAGGAGGTTTGGAGATATTTACGGTATGGTGAAGTGAAGGGGAAGTTTTTCCTCTTGTGTTTTTTCGTATTGGAATGGGTATGCTAAGGAGTTTGTGTATTGATGGAGAAGGAGAGTTCGGTTTGCTGACGTGGGGTGCATGCCATTGGAGGATTGGTGCCATATCCAAACTCAATTGCATCCACCAGTTTTTTTCTTGGTTTTGTTTGTTTGTATTTTGGAGTGTAGCCAAGAGCTGAAATTTTGAAAACACACAAAGCGAAGAGAGGAGAGGAGAGTAAGCTAGACTGCTAGAGGGGATACGAATATGCTAATGGCTCCTGCTCTTAAAGATCTTTTTCGGGCTTTTAGACATCTCGATTTGCAGATGGATGATAGAGAAGCTACTCATCTTGATCTCATATGATGTGTTGGTTCCAATGTCAAAACTTTTATTTAGGTTGCATCAATATACAAAATGATTAGATATTTGTGTCGGAGAGTGTCGACTCCATAGTGATTAGAGATGTCTTGGATCAAAGATCACGTTTGAGTCCAAATCGACATCCTCCAATTGAGACCAACCAACTACCAAACCAACATATAAGCGACTAGGGGTGCTCGTAAGGATGAAGTACTCGAAGCACTTCCATCTAACTGACGGCATGAAGTAATGGTGAGGAGGGTTCGGGTCGTCTTATAGAGGTCCTTATATGATACCTAAACTAGATAACGTAGGTAGAAGGTATTTTGTAACCAATTTAAGTACAGTTACTCTCTTGCAGTCGAAGGATCCACAAGACCACCCACGCGGTGCCCTCACCCAACAAAAGACAACTGACAGCCTTACAAGTGTTGTAGAGAATCTGAGATAATCCTCCTAGGGCAATGTACGCAATCAAAACATCCAAGGGAAACACTGAAAAATACAATTTGTTGGGCTAGGGAAGCGTCCCAGGTCCACGCTCACAAACCCTCTCTTGCAGGTATATCAGCAAGCATTTTCCTAAAGAAAATCGTATCAGCTTTTCAATGGGACTCATACCGCCTAGCACATATGGGCTCAAATGTAACCAATATCTTATTATCTTTCCATGAATTCTCTTGATGACTTGACCTTTAGAGCACGATTTCTAAAAATCTACTCTACTCAACTTAAAGGACCGTCACCTTTAATTTCATGATTTTGCATCACTCATCCAATCGCCATTTCCAACCGCACCCAACTCATTTTCCCTCTTCTTCCCACCATCTCAACAATCACGGAAGCTCCGGTATAAGTGGGGAACACAAAAAGGTCAGACCTTTCTTATTAATTGTCTTGTGACTTGTGACTGGACAATGGCATCGCCACGAGACGCCATCGTTTCCGCCTTTCCAGAAGAAGAGTCGTGAAGATAAATATAGGACCAGATCAAATCGAAAAACGACGTCGGGTTTCCCTTTCGTCTTCGTGGCAACTGGCAACCAATCTGGAAGATGCTTCGGATTAAAGAAATGGAGGGCAATAGTCAGTCAGGTTAGCTGCAGAGCAACAACAAAGCCTCCGCACCAGAAAGAAAAGCAGCAACAAGTATCAGAAAGCAACCCCTTTCCTGCCCTTTAGTTAACCCATCAACCACCGCCCATTTCCTTCTTCTTCTTCTTCTTTTACTTCTTTCTCGTTTGATTTCGGCTCATTCAGCAGCAGCCACTCGCCGACGACAATGCCAAGGCTTCCCCTTTTCCTCCTCCTCGCATTCTTCCTTCTCTCCATTCACCCAGCTCAATGTGGTAAGCATTTTGCTTTATTATTACTTCCTTTTCTTATTCTCCTTCCCATTCTTTGAACCATGTTCTTGAGAGTTGAAGTTTCAGCTTGAAAAATAGATCTTTTTTTGTCTGCTTTCGTTCTGCTCTTTCTTCTGTTAATGTTAGTGATGGTGGACGAGATCTAAGTTCTAATCGTGATCGATTGATTTGGGTGCCCGTTGGTTTTTGCTAATTAGAGGGTTGACGGATGATTGGCACTTGGCTTGGGTTTTGCTTACTAGATTGAAGATGCTTCTAATGAATAAGTAACTTACCTTGATTAGGCATTTCCCACTGTTAAAGCTGAAATCCAGGTCTCTTATGGTTTGAAAGGTTTCTTATTCCAGCCTTCTTTTGTGCTCCTTCAATCACAAGTAATCTAGTTGGCCTCAGTATTTTTTGCGTTGCCTTCAGTTTGTCTGACCAATGAACTCCAGATAGCCTCAAAGTTTTGGGCATTCTGAATGGAGATGTAAGCTTGATTGACCTTGATCCATAGTTGGTCGTATCGTCGAAGTGCCAGTTTGCTTGCCCCTCAGTCACATGTTACTCTCATATGACATTTGATCTCAAGTTGTTTGTTTGATATAATTCAGCTCCTTTAACTGACTTAAATGTCTAGTATGCAGTTTGTATGGAAGTTTCTGATACATTTGTTCGTTACATAATCCACAGATGAGGAGGATAAGCTTCTTCAGGGCATCAATGACTACAGAAGGTCCCTGAATCTCACCGCTCTAACAAAGAACGACAATGCAGATTGCCTTGCTGGGGAAATAGCCGATCAATTTGAGGGTCAACCTTGCACCAACACCTCCGGGTCCAACACTGTGCCAGGAACCGAGCCTCAGCTCCCCAATTACCCAAGGCTTCTGGACAAGTGCCATCTGAATGTTTCTAACACCAGGGATGGCGCTGTAATGCCTGCTTGTATCCCCAACTTGGATCCAACTCTCGTGCTTAGCAACTTCACCTTGAGTCAGTACTCCGATAGTCTCAACGACACCAAGTATACAGGAGTCGGCATTGGCTCTGAAGGTAACTGGATGGTTGTGGTTCTTACCACAAGCACTCCTGAGGGAAGCTTTGTCAAAGCTTCTTCTGACAATGTGTCGGCTGGTTTGGTCACTGCTGCCAGTCTGGTTTCTCAAATGCTGCTTCTGCTGGTGGCATGTTTACTTTTGCTGTAAACGAGGTTTCCTTGCCAGGATGTCCATCTACTTACTAGTTACTACCTCATCTTCTGAGGGCAAATTTCTGTTCACATATAAAGTTCAACTGAGTTACACTGTTCCCTTTTTGGGGAAATTGAGATTTTCTATTGTAGCTTGTTTGTGTAATAGAATCATGAAGAATGACATTTTAGATTGAACATCTATACAATTTCTATCATGAAGGACCAAGATCCGTTTTAGAATCTGTATTTATTTATTTAATGTATTTGAATTAGGGGATTGGCCTATGGTCCTGTCAAATCCAGAATCAAACCCAGTAGGACTAAAACCGGATAAAAAACAAAGAAACAATTAGTTCTGGAATGAAATCAAGATTGCATTGGAGCCTATTCAATCCAATCCAGTTTAGATGTTATCTATTTTCCCTTTATTTTTATTTTAGGAACATCAATGGAATTTCAAAACCAAATCAAACTATGTTTAGCATTGTTTGACTGGATATAAATGTCAATTCAATAGGATTTGGTCTGAATCATTGCGCTTGAGAGCAAAACTTACCACTAAACAGAATAAAGAAAACTTATTTGCTACAAAATATGCATCTTTTGTATTATGGATGTGAAGAGTTCGGAACAAGATTAATGAGACATATATAGTAACTTGTCACAACTGACTAATGCCCTCAATAACAAACTGCAAGATGGCAGCCACAACAAATGCAAATTAGCCAGGTAAAACTGCAATCAAGCCTTCTTTATGCTGGTGTGTTGGATGAACAGGTACTTCCTGAGTGCCAATATAAGGATCCATGTTGTCTTTGTGATCTTCTCTTTGACCATCAGCAGCAGTGCAGAACTAAGTATTGTCTTCACATGCTGTGCTAGCAATCCTTTGAAGAAACCCGACAAACCTTCTCGTTTCCAGATGGCACTTGTGGCGCCTGAGATTGTTCTCTTGTCTTTTGGTAGAACCTCTGCAGTTCCGTTCTCATCTGATTCTGCAGCCTGAAGCATCACTTTGCACCTGCAGCAAATACTACCAACTTAGTAATTGTCAAGTAAGAAGTCAGAGAGAAGCTTTTGAGCATTTTGCCTACCTAATTGCAGGGTAGGTGAAGGTGGTGGCAATACACTTAGCACCAGCACCAAGTACAAAAGCAGTGAAGGCAGAAAGCGTCTCAGGAGATGCATCTGCAGCAACTGATCTCTCCTTGAGCTGTGGCTTTAATAGCCTTTGCTTCAACTGATCAAATACAGTGTACTGCAGCAAAACGAACCGTTCCTTGATCATCAACCAACCCAAATAGCAAATGCAGTTGTCCCGTGGACAAAAAACCAGAGAATGAGGTCTCACCTGGATCGCAGGGTTGGAAGTGAGAAGCAATGATATCCCGAGTCCATCAAATGCCTCAGCCCAAGTCCCCTCCGAAAGGGTTTTCCAGAATCCCTTCGATTTACCAAATTCAGAGGTTTGCATCCTAGAAGCTGCTGTATCCAAAGGCTGTAACACAGTTTTCGCAGCTCATATCCCAAATTGGCTTAAAAAAGGATGGCGCAAAACAAACATATATAAGGGGAAGGACAAATCACCATGGTCAATGCCACAGCATAAGCCCCAGCAGCAGCAGCAATCACTAAATTAGCCTTTGGCCCCATGGCTATCTTGCCAGTTTTCTCCAAGTAGAGCCTCTTGAAGAGAGTGTAGCCATAGAAATACAAAAAGGAGGAAATGAATGCCTGCCAATTCTTCGTCCCAAGCCCTTGGTACAATGAAAGAACCTTACGGGTACGCACTGCCTCCCAAAACACATCAGCAACGTTTCTGCACAAAAGTCCTAATTACAGCTCCACTTAAAGAGTTGAACCCCCAACCCTGGCCTAAAGATGGAGCCTTTTCCCATAAATGAGATATGGGCAACCTTGAATTCGTCGGAAAAAATGGGAAAGGGTTCGGAGTAAGGGAAGGATTACCTGTACTTGCGCTGGTGGCGAGCTCGGAGCTCGGCTTGGAATTTGGTCTTGCAGGTGTCGAGAGGGTACAACACTGTCGTGCTGACGAGAGCAGCTATGGCGCCTGAAGTCGCGTCCGACAACGACTCCAGATCAACCCCCATTCTTGCGTCTACTACCTGCTGTAGCTGCCTCCTTTCCCACAAGAATTCAGCGCCAACTCATGAACCGCCCAACCAAATATTTTTCCAAGAAGGTAATTTTGTGTTTGTGCTTCTTTTTTCAGGTCATGGGTTGGTTGGTTCGTCTTACTACCTAGTTACTGGGCAGCCATGGCAGCGAGTAGAGCCCCCTGTACTGGTTCATGTATGGATGATCTTTTGGGGAATCGGAAATGACCCAGTCAACGTCATAGCCGCTGTCTGTTGACGGCGTCAACTACCCAGGTTAACGGCGTCTGTAGGAAACAAGAGATTCCTGTGTTTGGGGAGGATTACTCGCCTAATCGGGAATCTTCCCAATTCCAATCCCTATCTTTTCAATTTTCATTGGTTTTCTTTCTTAATAATAGCTTTCCCTTTCCGTTTTGGCTTAGGAGTTAGGACTGCCACTCTTCTATTTATAAATAAACCTTCATCAGCCCTTAAACGAGGAAGTCGGGGTATCCTCTGAATTAGTGTAGCGATCTATTTTACTCTGTCCTCTCCTGCAGTGAATTTGTTTGGGTTTTTGAGGAACTAGGGTTTCAGTTTTGCGATCCCAATTAAAAAAAAAAAAAAAAGGGTGAGCTTGCCGATAGAAAGTAGAAACCAATTTTACGGCCGAGTTTTGCCGGAGATTCAGTCGATTATAAACTTCGATCAAGAGAAAAGGAAGATGTGGAAGCAAGAGCTCGACGATGAGCTGGAGAATTTCAGAAGCAATCTTGGAATTGTGCCTAAGAAAATCAACGATGATGTCGTAGGTGGGCCGAAAACGGTCCCGGCGCCTACCGGCGATCAGCGTAGGAGATGGAAGGAGGAGCTTGACGAAGAGCTCGGTATGCTACGACTAAATCCGCGTAGCGGGAACACCAGAAAATACTCCACCGGCTCGCCGCCGCCAACCGTTGAAAGAAGGCTATCCGAACAACAGAGAAGGTGGAAACAGGAGCTTGAGGTAGAGATGAGAAGACAACGGACAGATTATTAGAAGAAATTCTATAATCAGCCTCAATCGAAAATTTAGAAGTATTTATTTTTAAAAGATGGTTAAAAGTTAAAATATATAAAGATCGCGAATGGATTGTATTTATGGAATTTTCGCACATAAGATGAGTGGGCAAGGGCGAGAAGGGTGCTCCGTGATAACTAGGCTAGGAAGATGTCTTGGTAGTTTTATCTCGAATATGACTCTTGTACGATTGAAGAGTTGCTTGCTTGCTGTCAAGGACGTCATCTCACTAGCAATTTCAAGGAGTCCACCTAGTGTCATTATTGAAGAAAATTCTGAAGTGGTCATCCGTCAGCACAGTAGTTGTGTTGAAGATTCGGTGGGCAGTTGTCTTTAGTTGTTGATTTTGTGTTTTCTTTGTATAGTTTTTAGGAGGAACGGGATTGCATATAGAGTGACAAAGAAAGCTCTCTTGTTGTAGGGTGATTTCACTAAAGTGTTGCCTTGGGAGGGATTTGGATAGAGAATTCTAACTATTTTCCCCTTTAGGATGGAAAGAGACTCAACATTTTGGTATTGTCCAAAACCAACTTATTATGAGTCAAATCAAATTTGAGAAATTTTACTTTAGGCGTAAATTCATATCCAATTGTTTAGTTTGAGTCAAAATTGCACTTATATTATTGGGTGCCTGAAAGAAAATGGATATCCAATTCTAATATAGTTTTTATCTTATTATTTTGTTATGCAACAAATAGAAAGGTGAAAATAGCAACATTAAAAGTGTAATTTGATTGAAGACGGTTAATGAGAAAGTCAATATTTTCCTTTGTCATGAATGTTTATATGCAGATAGGAAAATAGGAGGAACGACAAAGCAAAAAATAAAGAAAGCAAAAACGAACACGACACACGAATTTACGTGGTTCACTAACATAGTGTGTAGCTAGTTCACCGGCAGGAGAGAGCCTGTTTCACTATACTTTGATAATATACAAATTATAGAGAACTATGAGAAGTATTAATAGTACTTCTCCATGTGGTCTAACCCTAATTCAATTTGGTAAAAGAAAATGGTTACAAACCAGGCCGAGAACAAAACCCAAGTAACATTGAACTCATACAACGAGATACTATTGACTTACAATGGTAGCCAGATAGTCCGATTCAAGTCACATTAACATTCTTTTTGTGTGTGCAATCATGTGGACCTAAGTACACCCATTTGGGTCCAATCCAAATTGGACTCAGCCCAAGGTGGACCCAATTCAAATCCAACCCAAAATCATTAAAAGTCTATATGAAATTCATGAATGCATTCGGATCCGACCCGATACTCACTTCTATTATAATTTATAATAGTTAACTTAAAATTACCTAACGAATTGTCAGAAGGCTGAGTATATAATTAGTTATTTCCTTTGTTTCAGAACTGGATTGGACACTGAACCAGAAAAGTTAATAGTTTAGGGTTCAGTGGTTAACTGTTAAAGAATCGTTGATTGAACCAGTCATGATATATAACATGTAAGACTTGTACATTGCAGTAATTTAAGAATGGTTTTATCATTGACCATAAATCATCAAAATATCTAACAAATTATTCAAACTGTCTTGAAAAAGTAATTATAATTTTTAATTGAAGTTAAAAATTACGGTGCCAGTTTGTGATGAACCACGTAAAGTCGATAATGAGGTTGGAAAATGAGAAGATGAAGCATAAATAAAATTTATTATTCTCGTTTGACGGTTAAAGTATTTTTTTAAAAAATTTGCGGCTATAATAGTGAGCTAGTGGACCAGTTAACCGTGATGGAGTGGGGATTCATCTAGTTTCATGTTGAACCCTAAAAAATTATTTGATTGATAATAACCATTCAAACAATGAACTGAACTGCTCGTAAATAGTGTGAACTGTTCTACCGGTTCTTGATCCGGCAATCGATTTTTGAAACCTCGTATAATTAATAATACGAGTTAGAGGTCATTGATTTGAGTGCTACTTTGCACGTCTTTCCACAAATTAAAAAGTCTGATTAATGGGCTTGATATTTAAGCTAGAGCTGCGTGGCTCAGTTTTAGGCCTGGAGGGCCCATTAATGTATTCAATTTCCTCCCAATCCCGACAGTGCCCGTCCATCATCATTTTTCGAGAAAACAAAAAGAATGCATCATCCAACGGCTGATATTACAATTACTTGATTCCATAACTAAATCAGGGCCATAGAAATTTTCGTTTAAAGTTTAAGGGAAAAAAGAACTTTCGCTCTAGAGCCCTAGATCTTCTCCTTCGCTTTGATGAATTGGTACCGGTGATCTTCGGCTCAAGAACCCTAGAGCTCCCCACTCCCTGTCTTCATCTTGTGTCTTTGGCTTTGCTTACTGGTGCAAGCGAGCTACAAGCCTTGTGCATCTCTGCTTCAGGTACCTTTTTTGCTTGCCTGCTTGAAATCTTCAATTTCGTTTCGGTCTCCGTCTGGGGAACTGCAGGAATCGAGTGGGTTGGTGTTTGCGGGAGAGAGAGCGATCGTCGTCTTGGAGTTGGTGTTCTTTGAATGGAAGGGATAGAGTTGTGTCAGCTTTGCGGTTTCCCTCTTTCCTTAAACGAATAGATCGTGCGAGAATGGATATTCAATTTAATCTCCGACGTCATCGGGGTTGTGAGGTCCCGGAATTCGCTTTTGCTGATGCTCGAAATTGCATTTCCATGGGTGATTCTGATTGCTTTAGTTTAGATCCAGCATTCTGTTGACTTATTGGCGACGGTTTTGCCTTAAAGGAATCCAATTGTACCTTGAAGCACCCTGAATTTTCGAGAATTGTCTGAAGTGTTTATAGATTCATATCAATTGGTTCTATTTCTTCTGAAACTTTCAGTTTTTCATTCTTTGTTGGTCATTAGATGCCAGAATTGTCTGATCGAGGTTGCGGTTCTTTTTTGTTCAATGCTTTCCAGATAGATTTTGTTGGTAATGGCGATTGTCGTAGTTGTTTTACTTTTGCGATCATTCTTTATCAATCTTATCTTTTCTCCTGATCTGGCACTGCAACAAATTTGCAGGTTATGGCCTATGCAAGATAAGTAGCAAAACATACACCATAAGAGTTTCCACAGAGATTCTTTGACCAAAAAGTTGGTCAATGGCAGAATCGATATCAAATTTTTGGGGTCCTGTAACATCAACTGATTGGTGTGAGAAAAACTATGTCCACTCATCGTACATCGCAGAATTCTTCAATACTGTATCAAATGTTCCAAGCATTGTTTTGGCATTTATCGGCCTCGTAAGTGCCTTAAGCCAGAGGTTTGAGAAGAGGTTCAGTGTGCTGCATATTTCCAACATTATACTTGCCATTGGGAGTATGATGTACCATGCAACATTACGACATGTGTAAGTATTCTATCCTTCTGCCAGTGTTGTTCAAGTTCTATAGTATAGTTTAGTAACAGTTATTTCTGGTGGATTGTAACAATGTAAGTGAAGCAGTGCAAGCTAGTTTCCCATGTGGGTAGTTAATAGACTTATGCTAGTAACTGAGGACTGCACTGGTATTGTGTCTACTGTAAGGATGCTAATCAATGTCTGCTAGGGTCCCATCGTTAGTCTGTTTCAGCATTTAAACAATGGTGCTTTTTACCTTCTTGTTTAGATTGCTTGAGAGAGCATATGTTAAGCCCCCATGTCTGACATTGTCTCCTGTAGAAATGATGTAGAACTTGTTTTTTCTATCCAAATGTAGGTTAGTTGAGTTCTGTTTTTTCACTTGGAATTTGCTTTTTTTGTTGACTTAAAACTCATGCTGCTAAAAGTTTTCTGCAGGCAACAGCAAGGTGATGAAACACCAATGGTTTGGGAAATGCTATTGTACTTCTACATCCTCTATTCTCCAGATTGGCACTACAGGAGTACAATGCCTACATTTTTATTCTTCTACGGAGCAGGGTTTGCTATGATCCATGCATTGATGCGCTTTGGGATCGGATTCAAGGTGCACTATGCAGTCTTGTGTCTCCTCTGCATTCCCAGGATGTACAAGTACTACATCTACACGAAGGACGTGGATGCAAAACGGCTCGCAAAGTGGTATGTGGCCACCATATTCCTGGCGACACTGTGTTGGCTTTCGGATCGGATATTCTGTGCTGAGGTTTCGCAGTGGCGGTTCAATCCCCAAGGACATGCTGTGTGGCATGCCTTGATGGGCTTCAATTCGTACTTTGCGAACACGTTCCTGATGTTTTGCCGCGCAGAGCAATTAGGGTGGAACCCTAGAGTCGTCTATTCCCTGGGGTGTCTCCCTTACGTGAAGGTTCAGAAGCCAAAAGCTCAATGAAAAATGTATCAAGCAAGTAAACGACATCTCTCTTCTCTTTTGGCAGCTTAGGTTTAGGGTTACATTTGTTTTGGACTGACAGGCAAACAATCGCAAGCAAACACGTGTATTTCTAATTCCTCAGTACCTACTACCTACCCTCATTTTTGTCCTATATTTACTTCTTTTACCATTTGTTTTAGTTAAATGGATGTGTAAATGATACTTGGATGTTGACTTCATATGTTGGATTTTCGTCACAAATTTTAGGATTTGTGGGTCTGTTTAGTTATAGTTTCCATTATGAAAAAAAAAGAAACTACTTCTTTCTTTCATCAGCATATAACAATTGGTTTATTTTGAGTTTGAACCAGGATTTCTCTTTCTTTTTATAGTAAATTAAATTTTAGCTTACAAAGGATGTAATATTATAGATAAGAGCAGATCTACGGATGGCAAGGCCACAGCCAAATTTCCCATGACGAGCATTAGGCTCGCAAAGCATGTACGCTTTGAACACAAGACTCGTCTCATGTTCCCCAGACTCTGAAATAATCGTCTCTTTTGGATACCCGATAAAAAGTCGTCACTATTTCACCAAGGTGTAAATAGTATAATTGCATTAATCCGACAATCAGCAAATAATCAAACGATCAGAGTCGGTTTAAATCAAAGATTACAAATTTTATACTATGTTGTACCAAGTCAATGATAGAGTTCTTTATGCTTAAACAATGGTTTACCGCCACGAATAGTAGCCAACTCCATATACATTCCCCAACGCAGACATGATGTTCTCTTCGGAGATATCCGATAAAAGTTTCTCACTATTTGACCAAGATGTAAACATATAATTGCATTAATCCGACGAGGAAACGATCAAATGATATCAGGCCGTTTAAACGAAAGATTATGTGAACGCATCGGAGGTTGTACCAAATAAGTCAATGATAGGGTATTTTAAGGTAACAATGGTTTAGGCGTCTCATATCAGTGAAACTCCTATACCAAATTGGGCTCCGCTAGAATTTTTTTTCGCTCGGACTGCCAATACGATAGGATTTGATAAATACTATTTCAAACACCTTTATCTATATCATGGTAGCCGCCCAACCCCAAAAAAGAAATGAGCCAATTAGTGACTCCTTTTATAACGACCAAGCCATTTTTGTCTAAGATATTGGTTGCTTTGAGCCTACTCTGTATGATTTTGCTTTTGGGAGCATATTATAGTGACTTAATATTGAACTCGTTTAACTTTAGTGTATATCACCTTATAATGCATGTTGTCAGTTAATGTTGAATTGTTCATTATAAACCATAAATCTCTTTAATTCTTTCTTTGTGAATGTAAGATTTGTCCACATCCAAAACCAAAATCTGAATGGGCCTATGCATAAAAAATAATCTGAATGGGCCTCTCCATTCCTTCTTGTCCCCGTCCATCTGACGCTGTCGGCTTGGCTTAGCCGCGTTTGGTCCTATTCTCTTCCTACTAGTAAATTCCTATTTCCTAGTGACCTTTGCTTTTTTTAGTTTTTACTGGATTCAAAAATATCCAACCAAAACGAAACGGCGGAAAGAAGAAAAACACAGAGCACAGCAGGGGAGCCTCAGCCGAATAACCAGCCAACCAACACATGGCCTTAATTAATCAAAATCTTCTTCCAAGACTTAATGATTATTATTTCTCGATGGAATTCATTAATTATTCCTTAGAAAAAGTGGGGGGAAAAAAAGGAAAAACACCAGCGAGTCGCCTTCGCTCCTGTCTTTGTACTCTTTCCCTCTCCTTTGAAATTTCCACTTCTATTCTATTCTAACTCCCCCAATTGAAACCTTCACTTTGACATTTCCGCACTCACCTCCTCTAACGGCTACTTTCCCTCCTCTCCGCGGCCTCCATTTCTCTATTCCCCCACCGACCTCTCCTCCATCGCCACGACGGAGTATTCCGAGCAGTTGTGAGTATGCAGGACATTTTCGGATCAGTTAGGCGGTCGCTGGTGTTCAAATCCACCACGACGACTTCAGTGGACGACGGCGGAGGAGGGTTCAGTGGATTCGTGGAGAAGATTGGCTCCAGCATTCGGAAATCGCGAATCGGCCTCTTCACTAAGCCCTCCTTCCCTCCGGCGCTTCCTTCGCCCAGTGGTAGAAAGGGCGATGCCGATGCGCCTTCGATACGATGGAGGAAGGGGGAATTGATTGGTTGTGGTGCGTTTGGTAGGGTTTACATGGGGATGAATCTCGATTCCGGTGAGCTCCTCGCTGTTAAGCAGGTAAAACAAATTGCCGATTCTCCTTCTTTCTTTTACTGGGGTTTCGTTTCAGTTGGCTTGTTCGGTCCAAAGTTCATGACTTTCTCCTTTTCTGGCGTTTTGGGGGGGTTTTTTGTGTAGGTTTTGATTGCTGCCAACAGTGCTTCCAAGGAGAAAACCCAGGTAGAGAGGCCTGATTGTTGAATTCTTTTTGTGTTGCGTAGCTCCAATGGAAACTGGAATTGTTGGGGTTTGGATTTATTTATTTAGAAAGCTTCTGTTTATTGGATTTGGTGTAGGCTCACATTAGAGAGCTGGAAGAAGAAGTCAAGTTACTGAAGAACCTTTCCCATCCCAACATTGTGGTGAGTGTGTTTACCTTTTATTAGCTCTCCCAAGCTGATGTTTTGCCACTGTTAATTGATTAAACCCACCTACTTGCTTTTGTTGATCAGAGATATCTGGGAACTGTTAGAGAAGACGACTCACTGAATATCCTCTTAGAATTTGTTCCCGGCGGGTCCATTTCATCCCTTTTGGGGAAATTTGGTTCCTTTCCCGAGTCGGTGAGTGATCCCTGCCTGCCTTTGTTGCAAGATTCGCTTCCCAGATTTTGTAGAAAGACTCTTCTTAGATTCTTACTTTTGAGCAGGTGATCAGAATGTATACAAAACAGCTGTTACTGGGACTTGCATACCTTCACAACAATGGTATTATGCATAGGGACATCAAGGTAGTTTTGATCTGAACTTTTAGGGTGGATGATGGTTGTCCCTGTTAGTTCGTCTTTCGTTGCTGTTCTTGTAATATCTGAAGAGCTGTTGTGCAGGGGGCGAACATTCTTGTAGATAACAAGGGTTGCATTAAACTTGCCGACTTTGGAGCTTCCAAGAAAGTAGTTGAACTGGTATATACTATGTTTGTTCTTGAATTCTCTAAATAGGATGTACTCCTTGAAGTTCATTGCTAAAGTGTTCTATTTCTGTACAGGCTACTATAAATGGAGCCAAGTCGATGAAGGGAACTCCATATTGGATGGCACCGGAAGTTATCCTCCAGACAGGACACAGCTTGTAAGACTAATGCCCTGTGCTCTTGCGGATGGTTTTGTTAACTACTCTTGGCATGGTGACTGGAAAAAAAATAGAAATAGCTTTTCGCCTCGGCAACTTGGACAGAAGACAGTTAATAACTTAGCAGAAAGTTTCTATTCTGTTGTCTCAAGCGTTGGTGCTCTTAATCTCAACATGTTATAGATAATAATGGTATCATGTATTCCCTTTGTCTTCTATAGGTTTCTCCTTGCCAAGAAAGACAATTTCATTTTCAGCTTCTGTGTGCTTGAGCTTTTCCACTTCTATCTAGTAAATTGGTTACTGCATGTCTGCTGATTCACTTAATAGCTCGTTTACTTTGCCATTTGATTTCTTAGCTCTGCTGATATATGGAGTGTTGGATGTACGGTCATCGAGATGGCTACAGGAAAGCCCCCATGGAGCCAGCAATATCAAGAGGTAAATAGAGAATTTTTTTAACTTGACATTTTCTACAATCTGATCGGTATTTAACATTGATGTTAACAATAGGTGTTTCACATATTTATATTTCAGGTTGCTGCTCTCTTCCATATCGGGACGACCAAATCGCACCCCCCAATTCCTGAACATCTCTCTGCTCAGGCTAAAGATTTTCTATTAAAATGTTTACAGAAGTAAGTTTTCTGGTCTTTTTCCTCGTAATTTTTAGAGGTACCCTTTTTTCATATATTTCAGTAGACTTTTAAGGTCTTAACTGGAAGTTGCTCTGGAGCTACCCCGGAAGAGGGTATCTTTTAAATTGGCCTCGAGTAAACATTATGATACAACCTCTGCTTTTGTTGTTGGTTAGTTTCTCACTTTGATGATTCTCATATCCACCTACTTGTGCTCTCAGGGAACCAAACTTTAGAGCCACTGCATCAGATTTGCTGCTGGTAAGTGTTTATAGTTTGGATATATGCAAGACTACTATTGTTGTCCTAGCCTTTAAGTTTGAATTACCTCAATGACTACAATAACTAACTTTGCTCGAGTATTAGACAGATCATGCACTTTAATTGGATGATTAGAGAAACATAGGTGAGTCAGGTTTTTAACTGTTCATCCGTTGTATATATGCAGCATCCATTTGTCACTGAGGATTATAACGAATCTACTCCTCAACTCCGCAGTTCACTCAGGGTATATAATAGAAGATTTCCTTTTCTATTTTGTCTGCCCTAATTCTCTATTTCTCATTGCTTTATTTCATTCATCTATTGACTCCAGGAATCAAGAAATTTGATGACGAGCACTATGAACCTTAGGAACTCGTAAGCCATAACTTAACCTTGCCCTTTCCTACAGAGTGTTTTTTGGTTTTGCATTCATGACATTCAACAAATGTATAATGATGCAGCATAAACCCTTCAATCAGAAGATCGACCTGTGGAGGCTTAAAGGATGTTGGTGACATGGGTGGCAATATGAGGTCCTCAATAATATATCCTGAGAGCACATCAGGATCTGGTTCATACTGGCATGGCACTTCTAGTTTAGATGATGATATGTGCCAGATAGATGATAAAGACGATTTCATGGTTGTTAGGACATCGTCGAAGTTCAAGTCTGTCTTTTCTTCTACAGACTTAAACAAGGTATCAGGGTATTGTTTATTTCAACATTGGTTAATGAACTTTTGTATAGTTTAGGTTCAAGATAAATAAGCAGAACATATTCTTTTTTCCAAACCAGAGTTTCAATCCAATGTGTGAGCCAACTGATGATTGGCCGACAATGTCACATGGAAGTTCAGAAATGAGGAGAAGCGAACTCCGTTCTAGCCAATTTATCAATGAGGTCGCCAGTAGCAGCCTTGGACTGTCTGGCAAGGAAGGGAATGAGTTTGCATTTCCTGGTGGCCCATTGGGAACTGAGGATGATGAAGAACTTACAGAGTCGAAAATCAGGGCCTTCTTGGATGAAAAGGTAGAATCCATTTCTCTTAATTGACATCGTAGATTCCTTGCAGTAATTTTTTCCTATTCTGGTGATATTTGTTTACAAGCTCTCTTCCTACCTTGTCTTGCATTTTTTAACCAGGCTTTAGATTTGAAGAAGCTTCAAACGCCTCTGTACAAGGAGTTCTACAGCACATTGACTGCTAATGATCCTCCACCAAGAGTAGCCGGAAAGAAGAACTATGAGAATATGAAGAATTCTTCAATCTCCATATTACCCCCGAAAAGCAAGTCTCCAAAACAGTTGCCACCGAGCAAAAGACTTTCTTCAGTTGTTGATGCTCCGACTAGCAGTAGTCCTGGTATGACTGCAAGTTACAGGGCAAATGATAACAGCATCATCCACTCTCGAGCTCTACAGGAAATTCAATCCCCTCAAATCAGCGAGTGGAAAACGGGCATCCTTAACGGGGAGCAGCAGGAACCAATCACTCCAAGGTTAGTCTTTTGTAGTCATTCAAATGCTTGGCCTTTACACCCTCACTTTCTGTAACTTATCACGTTGGTTTTAACTTGCATCGTAAGCTTCTCTGAGAGGCAAAGAAGGTGGAAGGAGGAGCTTGATGCAGAGCTCGAACGGAAACGAGGCAAGTTTTCTAGCCTTAACTCTCACCACATTATTGGGGAAAGCTTCGTCAGATCATTTATAGCTAACTTTTTACACATACTTGTTGATATCAGAGATGCTACGTCAAGCTGGTGTGAGCCCGAAGACATCTTCTCCAAAGGACCACGTTCTGAATCGACAAAGATCAGAAAGAATGAGATATCCATTCCCGGGCAAGTAGTAGCCTTTATGCACATTCTTCTCTCAAGAGGCCTGAAGGAAAAAAAGAACAAAAAGTGATCTTTTTCTCCATTCGTGGAGCACTGCTGCTCCTGCTTTTGTATTTAGTAACCTCACAGAAATGTTGGCCGACGGGGGTTTCGGTTGTCCTTGTCTGGTAAGATAATGGAAGCCACCACCTTTGTTGCAGAAGGCTGCACCAGGCTGCCTGCCTCATTGTGTAGTTTCAGCACAGAAGAGCTGGCCGGGAGGGGTAATATTTGTATGCATATTTTCTCTCTACCTTGTTGAGATGGGATCTGGAAAACCATATACATAATATAAATGAAGTTTTGGAGCTCAATGATCCTGTGTTTCATATTTTCAAGTCGAATGTTCTCTACCCATTTTACAGACTGGCCCAATTTAGTGATGCCCATATCAAGAAGTTCTGTAACTAAAAGTTGTCTTTACCAACAATTTGTTGAAAGTGTAAAAGAAAAATGTCAGAAGTGGGATTTGAACCCACGCCCTCTTTCGAAGACCAGAACTTGAGTCTGGCGCCTTAGACCACTCGGCCATCCTGACAACCGTTGATTAAGTTCCGTGATTGCTACAACTAATTTGTTTAATTACTTTTTTTAGAGGCACTAGAGGTAAGCTATATACTCGTTAATCGTTATTATGAGTAGGAAGATTTATAAAAATGAACTTATTCAAACATGGGGGATTGATTTATTAAAGGTACATAAGATATAAAGTTATAAACAATCTCCCATGCAAAACGATATATTTAAAGCCTCCCAAATTGATGTTCTATCAATTTGACACCAATTTTCTCAAACCTGACATAGGCTTTTGGTTGGGTTTGTTATGTTGCCTAAGGTTTGAACGCACAAGAAGACAGTTACCTCCTTACCATCTTTAGCCAACACAGTATACAAGACTAGATTGAGTTCCTGCTTTGGGACGACAATAGAGCTCATGAAACACAATTTCTGTGTAGGTTCATGCAGTTGCCATCCGAGCAGCATAATCAGAAGTTCAGAACTTGATCGGGTAGCATCGGCAATGGGATTCTCACAGTTATTCAATACTCAACCTCAGGGGCATCACATATATCATGAATGATGAAAAGTTTGCCTTAAAACTGGCTGAAAACAAACTTCAGATATGTAGAAACATCGGGGTGCAAACATCGCAAACATCGCACAGAGCAGCTGTGTCCCTTACACAACAGGCTTTTCTTGTTGAAAATAATACACAACGTTTGCCCTAGCTGACCACCTTCATACGATTAAATTGCGCATCTGTTTCTCAATTGTCCATGGCTACATGGTCTTCTGACCTGAACTAGCGATCCATGTAAGATATGCACTCCGTTGCCTATAGCATCTCGAGCAGCAGTTTTGGGAAGAAGATTCAAGACCACCTTATTGAGTCTTTCCATTTCTGGAAAAAAGAGCCCACAGATGGATGAGCATTAACATAATAATAGAAAGAAACACACAGTTCATATCTTGAGCTACCACAAAATGGATCAAGAAGCAAAGGTAGGAATGGCAGAATGCACGACATGCCAAATTAATAAATGTGTAATCATAACGAGAGCTGTTTGAATGCTAAAAAAAATTCACTACATATGCAACGAATTCAGAACACAATTATCATACATAAGATCAATCAGAATCATGATCAAACAAAATGGAGCAGTGAGACATGGGATTGATTTACTAACATGGATTCCTGGTAGCCATGACCATTGGATCAGAGGACAAGATATCATCCACATGATTTCCGGTCGACGCTCTTTCTCCCTCTCTCACTAGCTTCACTAAAACACTTTTGGAAGGGCAGGAAAGAAATCCAAATGACTAGCAAATGGATGCTGGACTCTGCCGATCAAGCACCTTGTTTGCAATGGCCTCCGTCTATACCCCACTGTTATATACCAGGATAAATCTCTGTCATTGTGAAACCAGCCAAAAAATTGTTTGCTGTTTCAGTTCTCTAGCTCTGCGGTTGCCATCATCACAAGACTTAATCTATGGAAGCTTGCAAATGCAAATGGGACGGGAATTATTCTTTAAAGGCAAATCAGGCACTTGATAGATAACAGAGAACTGGTCATTTAGGCTTAACAAGGTAGGATGCCCATGTATCATCTGCTGGGCGTGGTGGCTGGATCCAGTGCCCTGGTATACGACTGCATTCAAGTTCCAGACGAGGATTAGAAGAGGATCATACAAAACCAAGATGCTTAAAAGAAGTCTTATGACAATGAAAAGAGCTATGAGTAATGCAAATTGGAGTGCCAATATATTCCTTGTGCGTTTCAGACAACTAGCATTAGCACGCTCACCTTCCTCCTGGCCTTATATATGCATCCCACACCCTTCTAACCTGCAAAGTAAAAATAAATCACATCAAAATTCAAAACTACATGTGGATGTGGATCCCCATGAAGTGGTAGTCCCATTGTCTACTGACTACTCCCATATAATAGACAAATCATATCTAGAAATCAGCAGCCATATTCTAATGAGAAAATCTTTTTTGTTGAAAAGAGACGGATGTACTGAGAATCACCTCAATGAGTGTCCCCATGTCATTACTGCTTCCATGATAATAATGATAGAATTCAATTGGTAAATTTTCCACCGTGTTAAATGCTCCGCCATAACTATGACTTTCAGGTGGTTTCTCTCCGGATGGACCACTTTCTGCAGCAGAGCCTATCTTTTCTTCTCCTTGGATTGTTTGGTCTGGGCTTCCTCTATCTTGATTAACATCACCTATTGCTTCCTTTGGGACAGACCCATTGCTCTGCATGCTTTTCCTTGATTCTAAAGCAGTTGCAATTGCATCCTTCGCAGCATCTGTGTCAGCTGCAGCCTGCGCCAGACGCTCCTCTTCCTCAGCTGCAGCTTGGACCTTCTCCAGAAATTTGTCGTCCTCCTCAGGTAGAAAATGTCCTGCATAATCATTCAGTACAAACCTTAGTTCAAGACACTAAGATCACCAGAAGACTCCAGAACACTTTGATCTAATGATCAGCGATACTAGAAATGCATATTGACAAAATAAAGAATTTAAAATAGCTGGGGTAAATTTAGAGCAAAGAAATTAGCTACCAACAAAAATTATCATCGGTACCTTGTTTCTTTAATTTTTGGATCCTCAAGGAACGCAACTCTTGCAACTTCTCAACCATCAAGACCAGTTCAAGCTGAAATGTAGGGTATGCAGATGACATAAGTCTGAGATACAAATAAGGTTCATTTGGAAACAGGGTAAATAGAAGACACTAGAGCATCCACCGTGAATAAGACACTAGTCACTAAACTCATATCAGTAAACAAAGACGGTTTCGGTAGCAGCCTTCTCCTTCAATCATCCCATACATCTAAAATGAAGTCCAGCATGTTCCGGGATTCCTTTTCTAATAAAGGGGTACAACCAAGAGCTCAAACTCATAAAAGACCTTTCTTGTCATGCCATCTGAACATTAAGAGTCTTACCACTTCGAAATCGCGATTAACATAGAGTGAGAACAAAAACCGCAACAAGTCGTGAATAGATTAAAACAATTGAAGTATCCACGAGGAGCATGCATGCATAGGAAGGGTTAGTTCTGGAGAGATTGGTAGTCTTGACTCTTGATTATTAGAGAAAACTGACATCACCGTAGCATGTATGACCAATCTCACCTCAGATTCGAGTCTCTTTCGTTCTTCTTTAGCCTTAAGCTTTGCAATTGCATTCATACTTTCCACCTGCAACCAATCAGTCAAGGCAAAAGTTATTCAGCCATAAGCTTCTATTGAAAATCTTGGAAGGGTCAGTCTCCTATTTGTAGCACATAAATAGCATCACCAAGAAACAACCAATAACATCAATCGAACTATTGGAAAATTTCATCGATAGGGTCATGTTACATATGCCACGATAGCTGTAATACGTTTCTAACTCTGACCTGACTTCTCAACAGCACAGTATACGAAACAAAAGAGAATCCAAAACATTTCTATTCCTTTTGAGTTCCCACTGCAAATCAAATATACAGGGGAAAATTCCTAAAAACTCTTAAAGAAATTAGTTATGGAATAAAATTCAGTTTACCTTGAGTTGTGCTGCCTCCTTAGCAATCTCCCTAGCCCTCCATTCATCAGCTTCCCTGTCAGCTTGCTTAAACCGTTCATCCGCCTAAAATTTCCGCAACAATATTACCCATCAAACAGAAAAGAAAGGAGAGAAAATCCCTGAGATAAGAACCCCACCTTCGCATGCATTTCTGCAGCAAGTTTTCGTTTTCTTTTTCTCCAACGTTTGTTCCTCTTGGACTTGAGCAACTTCTCAGATAGTCTAACTGCTGCTGATTTCTCCTCCCAGGGGGTTGTTTCGTCCACGATATAGCGAAACGGCTCCAGCTGGGCTCTTAGCCTCGACATTAAATCATTTGCTGCACTGACAGAGACATTTTCTTGTGCTGCTAGATCAATTTTCCTGTCCTCTAGACACTTAGAGAGCTCACAAGTAAAAGGTTCAGCGGAAACCCTATCCCTGTCTTCCCCAGATCCTTTGATAGACTTCAGCTTTGCCAGCGCCTCTAGCTCTCTTTGCCTGATGCAAAACAGTAATTCGATTACGAATAATGTCGCAAGCAGCAAAGCTCTTCATTCTCAAGGGCGAACAATCAGTCAAATGTGTACATTGTTTCTGCAAGAACCAGAGTCTCTTGTAGCTCCCACCGCCGCTCGTGAACATTCCTCTTCTCCCAAAATGCAATTGAATGCGGTGGATTGGGAGGCAACATCGGCGTCCAAGGAGAAGGTTGCCGAGTCGCTTGAGGCACGGAGAAAGGAACAGGATTCATTCTGATTCTTAAAGAGAAAAATCAAAGGTAAAGCACTGTGTAAGCGATTAAGAAACTATCGCCATAGCTGAATTCTGATGCAACTAAAAGCTTCCTATGCGGTAAACAGGAAACGGGGCAGAAAGTACAGTAGCCCCAACCTGGGAGTTGTAGCGCGAATCAGGAGGAGAAGGGGAAACTGGGATTTCCTCCGGCGATCATCGTCATGCACATCGACCGCAATCTTCTTCCAGGTAATTGCTTCAATTTCCGAATCGAGCTCCACATTAGTACAATGGCCCATATAGAGAAGCCCAATTCTGGAAGCCAGTAACTAATGTGAGCCGTGGGCCATAGTCGACAATGGATTGGTGAAACGAAGCCCAATTCAGTCCGGGCCTGATGGAAACTGCAGAAGCATTCAACATAGGGGTGGAAGTTTGGTTTGTGGTTTGGTTAGAGAAGCCCAATTCTGGAAGCCAGTAACTAATGTGAGCCGTGGGCCATAGTCGACAATGGATTGGTGAAACGAAGCCCAATTCAGTCCGGGCCTGATGGAAACTGCAGAAGCATTCAACATAGGGGTGGAAGTTTGGTTTGTGGTTTGGTTTAACCACAAACTGCACTTAACCACACGTAGTTTGGTTAACTACTAGCCACATTTTGTGGTTAGTGGTTTAATTGTGGTTGGCAAAATTTTGAATTTTGTGGTTAGTGGTTAACCGCTAATCACTGTGGTCAAACCATAAAAACCGCGCAAACCACAGTTTTTCATTTAAGTTTTAGTTTTATACGTATTAGTATGTAATATTTAATCTTATCATTTTTAAAAAAATATTAATAAGTATGGTAATACAATTAAGAGAACTTGTTTAGTAGGTAGAACTTTAACAAGTTATTTGTGATATTATTGAATTAGTTATAGAAGATTCTACTGATTATTGAATTATTGACGTCTTATTCATTAAGAATGATGTTAAATTGTTGTTAAAGGTGTATTATCCTTTAATAGTTACTTCTATGATTCTCATTTTTTTATTGTTTATGTCATCTTTGTATCTCTCTAAAAAGAATTCGATTAATAACAAACCTATAAAAAAAATATAGATAGATTTATGAGTTTGGTAAATTATTTTTTGCTGTTAACCACAAATAACTCCACCGAACCACAGTGGTTAGTGGTTAAGATATTTAGTTTAACAATGGTGTTGTTTGTGGTTAGGATATTTAGAGATTTGTGATGGTGGTTAACCGCTAAATGTGGCGCGGTTAACCACAATTGTATCGACGTCCACCCATAATTGAAACTCAAATATCATTTTTTTAATATTGAATATTGCATATTAAATTGGAGTATTGAATATTTTGGAAGCGATATATAATTCTGAAATTAACATTAATTTTCAGCCTGGTTCACCAATAACCTTAGACCTTTTACTAATTTGACATGGATCCAATAATCATAAGATGATATTTAGTTCAAGATGGCTTCAGTTCAAAACTATTTTTTATGTGTAATGAATTTGTACGGAAAATACATGTAAAGTGAAGATGAACCTGATTATGCATTTTGATTCTTTAGATAAATACAATGGTTTAAGGCTTTAAGCGATGAACTAACTATACACTCACTAGATTGGTTCAACGAGTTCTGCTTTTTATCACTTATAATAATTAGTTTATTCACAAGCTATCAAGCTACTTTGCTCCGTCGATGAATAAGCGCCATCTATTCGCCAGGTTTTAGGTGCTCTGATTCACACAATCGATTGTGAATCGAGAAGAAGCATTTCGAATGCAAAATTGGAGAAGTAATTGGGATGTTTTTAGGTTTCTCTCGATTCCAAGTGGTGGAAAGAAAAAGGAAGAGATAAGAGGGTTTGTTGTGAGATACAAAGCTGAGCGAGAGAGAGATGGAAGAACAAAGTGGAAGGCAAAGAGAGAGTGAGAGGACATTTAAAAGATGAGAAAAATTAGGTAGTGTGAAATAATTGCCCTTCTGCTTTGATTAGTGGATATTTTTGGCCCTATTCTATTGAGTTTTTATTTTGTTTTAGAAAATGACGTTATTTGACATATATTTTCCATTTCAATTTAAAATACTAAATCAATATTATCATTTGGAAGATTTTCCTTAATATGATTATTGTAATTTCTGAGATTTAAGGGGTATTTGTTAATGTCAATACTTTAGTGATTTTTTATTTAAAGTTTGTATTGAAAGATCGTACGTACCGACGACTAGACCATAAAACTTCACATCATAGGCTAAATCGATAGGTGATATTAGCCATATGAAACGATTCAATCACAGTTAAATTATGACTACAGTATAAAACACTCTAGTACCAACTTTTTCGATACGATTTTACAATCCTTTGGTTCAAACAATTCTCTTACGCTGATGAAAACAAAAGTTTTAAGGCACATTTTGAAGTATCTATTGCAAAAAAGCATAAGTCAGTTAGCGATAATGAGAATATGCGATCTCATGCAACCCAAAAGACACTTCGCAACTTCTATCTTTTTAAAATAAATGTATGCTACTCATACTCTCGCTCATTCGTCAACTTAATGAGTAACATATATTTCAAGTAATATTATTTTCATACGTGTTATTGAATTATCTCATGAAAAAAATATTTGCTGCATAAAAATTACTACATTATTGCTAGACATGTCTCCGATCTGAGAATAATTTGGGAAGTCCGTACGCATACATTGTCCAACTAACTATTAGCGATAGCTTAGCATCATGTCCTATATATTTCAAATCAAACAACTTCAGATTCATTACCACCAGTGTGGTAAAAAAATGCTCTCTATTGGGAAAAACTTAAAGGACATAATAAACTCTATGATACATTTTCTTTCATCCTAAAGGTTGATTATGTATGTAATATGAGAAATAACTCTAATATTCATTCAATAATTATATGTAATGCTTATATTATATTTTTTCTCTTTTCATGGAGGTCTAAAGTCTAAACATATTATGCATAGTTGGATCACTTTCAAAAATGTTATGTGCATAACTAAGGTAGAAAACAATCATTTCATGCATTTCAAATCATCTATTATATCCATTATTATATATCATATTCCTTGACAAAATTAGGGTTGGCTATTTGGTCCGGGCTATTTGGTTTTACCCAAAATCGGATCGTATAACCCGGACCGGGACCGACCTGGAACCGGATAGCAAACAATCCAATCACATCTTCAGGCTTAGATTTTAGGTAAAAAACCGTTTGGGACTAGATGGAAAACCTGATAAGAGAGCCCAACACCCAAAACTTAACCAACTCCTCACCCTTTGAGGCTTCAGGCCACTCAAATCCCCACAACCTCAATCCAAAATCAAGACCGAATTGGGACCGGACCGGATCAAGACCGGACTGTAACCAATCCAATCTTTGGTTCTTATATTATCGAAAAGACCGAACTGAGACCAGATCAATTTGGGCCAATTTAACCGGACCAGACCGTATAACCACCCCTAGACAAATTCTTCCGGCCAATGGGCCGGGTCCTGTGCTAGTAAGAATGATGTTGAATTATTGTTAAAGGTGTATTGTCCTTTAATAGTTCTATGATTCTCATTTTTTTTTATCGTTTATGTCATCTTTGTATCTCTCTAAAAAAAATTCGATTTATAGCAAACTTATAAGAAAAAATTTAGATAGATTTATGAGTTCGGTAAATTATTTTTTACGGTTAACCACAAATAACCCCACCGAACCGCAGCGGTTAGTGGTTAACCACGAACCACAATGGTGTTTTTTATGGTTAGGATGTTTAGAGATTTGTGATGGTGGTTAACCGCTAAATGTGGTGCGGTTAACCACAACTGCACCGACGTCCACCCCTAATTGAACCCACACAATAAAGGCGCACCTTTTCAAAGGGCATTCAAGTTATGTCCGTGGATTCAAACCAATGTGTCTATGATGCTCAAGGATTAAAAAATGGAACGGTTCGATCAAGAAAACCTTCTATCGAAAGCAAAATTGGTATACGGTAATTAATGGATTATTTTTCATTTAAGAGGACACGTAAGAAGAATAATCTAATATCCATATTACATACCGTAACATCTCATAACAACTAGAGTTACCAGAATCATCGGGGTTGGATCCCATCCTTAAGCCCAAAATTTAAGGAGTTCCTTAAGGTTCTGCTGCCAATAAGGAGAGGAGAGAGATAGGAGGAAGGGAACTAACTAGAAGGGCAAATGAGGTAGTTTAATTAATTATTTAATATTGTTAATAATAATAATTGCCGGTGAAAAAATAGTAAATGCCCATTTCCCCTAAAAGCCACCAACCACTTTCCATTTCAAACACTCGCCTGTCTCTTCGTCCAAATAAGCGTGAAACAACGGGGATCGCTAATTGTAGCCCTAACTTTTTAATCGCCCTAAATTAAAATTAAATGTATATCCTTTTTTATTGTGAGAATATTTATTCTAACACAAAAATTTATCACTACCACCTCCGACCGGTCCTCCACACGTCGCCACCACTACCCAACTGAAGATTGTATTGCAATTTGACAATTTTATTGAATGAAAAGAGAAAGAACTTATACTAGTTGATGCAAGCCACAGATCTCAGCTGCTGCCAACGTTCCATGACCCTGAAATCAAGCTGACATGATCTCCCAAACAACCTAGCAAGCTGAAAGTTCTCAACAACCTAACTAACACGAACTGGACTCAATTGTACCAAAAACACAAATAAGGGACTAACTATGCAAAAATCCAAACGACGCAGTTTCGCTTTATTACACAGACTCATAAATTTAAACTTTTTCTTTGACGCTCTCTTCATCCTTGTGGAACCTTATTTCTTCTTAACATTTCCTCCCCTGAACTGAACCCCTCAGCACCAACTTCAGTTCATCTTCCATTCCAGGTCTTCACTCAATCTCAGATAGCTCACGAACTCCCAGCTCCTCCCTTAGCCTGTGAAATGACTCTGCTGACAGAGCTTTGGTCATTATGTCAGCTGCTTGATCTCTTATGCCACACTGCTCCAATTCCACAATTCCATCTCGAACCAGATCCCTTAGAAAGTGAAACCTCATGTCAATATGCTTGCTCATGCCGTGGAGAACTGGATTCCTCGATAGCTTGATTGTAGAAGTATTATCACACATAATCAGAATAGCCTACTCAATACTTGATTCCCAACCAATGCTAGTCAAAATTCTTCTTAGCCATACTGCTTGAGCTGCACAGTAAGCAACAACAACAAATTCAGCTTCTGTGGTTGACAAGGTCACCACAGGTTTCTTTTTAGATGGCCACGAAACAGCTCCACCACCAAGAAAGAAGATGTACCCACTAGTACTCTTCCTATCATCAGAGTCTCTTGCATAATCACTGTCTGTGTAGCCAACCAGGTTGTCTTCTCCACCTTGCTTCTTGTACCAGATTCCATAGCTCAAAGTGCATTTCAGATAACGAAGAACTCTCTTTACTGCTAGTAGATGTTGTTTAGTGGGATCTTCCATGTACATGCTTAACATACATACAACAAACATTAATTCTGGCCTAGTAGCTGTGATGTACACCAGGCTTCCAATGAGCTGCTTGTACTCAGTTGCATCCACCAAATCGCCATCTCCAGCCTTCGACAACTTAGCTCCAGGAACAATTAGGTTGTGAACGAAATTGCATCTGGCAAGATTGAATCTTTCTAGGACTTCCTTTGCATATTTATGTTGGCATAGAAATATGCATGTGTCCTTTTGAATCACTTCTACTCCCAGAAAGTATTTCATCCTCCCCAAATCTGTCATTTCAAATTCTGCTTCAATAGTGTTTTTGAATTCAACAACCATCTCAGTACTAGTGCCAGTATATAACACATCATCCACATATATACTTACTAGCAACAGCCCCTTTCCAAACCTTTTGATAAACAAAGTTGCTTCATATGTACATTTCTCGAAACCAGTAGCAAGGAAATGAGCTTCTATTCAACTGTACCAAGCCCTTGGTGCTTGCTTTAAGCCATATAAGGCTTTCTTGAGCTTGTAGACTTTGGCTTCCTCCCCAGCAACCACAAATTCCTGTGGTTGCTCAACATAAACATCCTCACTGAGCTCACCATTCAGGAATGTGCTTTTGACATCTAGCTGCCAGACTGGAAGTCCATGATGAGCAGCAAATGCTGGAAGACACCTGATGGTATCCCACCTAGCCAGTGGTGCAAAAATTTCGTTGTAGTCTATACCAAACTTCTGAGCATACCCTTTAACCACCAATCGAGCTCTGTGTTTATCTAGATCTCCTGTTTCAAAAAGATTAGTCAGCTCCCAGGTGTTATTTTTGTCAATGCACTTGATCTCATACTTTATTGCCTCATTCCATATGTCTTCTCTGACTTCCTCCTCAAAGGTTTGAGGGTCTTTAGTGGCTGCAATCATGGCTAGCCATTCTGGTTGTTCTACTGTCACACAACTGCAGTCATAGATAGTCAAGAGGCCTGATGGTTTTCTTGTTATGGGACATAGTTCAGTACTTCTAGGCAGCCCCAAAACAACGGTTTGAATATCTTCATCATCATTACCAGTGAGATTGGTTGCATCTGTGTCCTAGGACTTGCAGGTTCCTCCTCAGCTTCACTTTCTGGAACTGCAGTAGTCAGAAATTGTGGACCCTCTTTCCTATCAGAATCTGCATATACATCATCACTTCCTTCCCATATCAAACTTGTCAGGACAGGTTGGATGTCAGATTTCCACTTCCAACCCTTACTTTCACCAAAAACTACATCCCTACTCACCAGAATTTTCTATGTTTCTGGATTGTACAGTCTGTAGGCTTTTGATTCAGTTGAAATCCCTAGAAAATAGCACCGAACACTCTTGTCATCCAATTTCTTCCTGAGTTTGTCAGGTAGTGGGCATATGCCACACAACTAAACACTCTAAAGTGAGAAACTAATGGAGAAACACCCGTCCACAACTCCTGTGGTGTTTTTCATGAGTTTGCCACTATAGGACTTCTGTTTAGGACATGAGTTGTCTAGTTCACAGATTCTGGCCAGAACCTTGCTTGTACTTGAGTGTCCTTCAACATGCATCTCACCATGTTCGTGGTGGTTCTGTTCTTCCTTTCTGCTACCCCATTCTGCTGGGAGTCAAGGGCTCAAGGCAGCTGTGAGTGGTCTTTTTATTCTAGTTTCAACACATAATGACTGGAACTCATTCAAAAGGATCTCTCCTCCCCTATCTGTTGTAAGACATAGAATAGATAGACTAGTTTCTTTTTCAACTTGGATTTTAAACTTCTTAAACCAGTCCAGTGATTCAAATTTTGCAGCCAAGAAGAACACCCATAATTTCCTATTGAAATCATCAATTATGGTGAAGTTATACCTATTTCCTCCTTTTGAAGATCGAGTGATAGGTCCACAAAGATCAGCATGGAGTAGTTGCAGCTTCTGAGTTGCCCTCCAGGGACTGTGCTTTGGAAAAACTTGTCTGGTCTGCTTGCCAATTTGGCAGGTCGGACAGAGTTCTAGCTTTCCCTTCAATTCAGGCAGGCCAGAGACAAATCCCTTATGTTGAACTTGCATCAAACCTTGAGGATTGAGGTGACCAAACCTCCTGTGCCACAAATTGAGTGAGTTCTTTGGCACTTTCAGTTTGCAGACACTGCATCTCAGTCTTAGTCCTGCTAGACTCATCCTGGAGAACAAACATTCTGTTTGTTTTCATAGTTGTCTCTAGCAGAAAACCCTTCTCTTCATGATAGATTATGCAAACATTTCTTTTAACCACAAACTCCAATCCCTTCTTCTGTAGTTGTCCCATACTCAACAAATTAGTAGCCAAACCAGGTACATAAAAGACATTGTGGATTACCAGACCTACCCCACCCAGTTGCAGTCTCACTTTTCCTGTACCAGGAACATCCAACCCGGTATCATTACCTAGTCTCACCTAGCTAGTGTGATTTGTTTCCAAAGTTTCAAACCACCTCCTGTCTCCAGACATGTGATTACTGCAACCATAGTCCAAAAACCAACAGCTATGTATTTCTTTTGCCTGAGGTTCTTCAAGGAGAGCCATCAGCAGTACATCATCATCAAACTCTTTGTGGGTGTTATAAACGCGCTGCTACGGATCGAGAAATCGCCGGAATCGATAAAGCAAGAATACGAAAGCGAGAATCGAAAAACACAGACACACGATTTACGTGGTTCACTAACACGATGTGTGTTAGCTACGTCCACGGGCGAGAGAGAGCCAATTTCACTATATCGAGGAGATTACAGATTACAGAGGAGTATGAGAAGTATTTATAGTACTTCTTGCATCCTCAAGCTGAACAACCGTTGCTTGAGATGCAGCTTGTTGGTTAAGGACTTCGTCATATACAGACTCTCCAACTTTAACCACAAGCCCGCGGCAGTCTTCTCAGTAGCGACTTCAATGATGACGTCATCAGACAACGATAGCATGATGGTCGAGTGGGCCTTCTCCTTCAAGGTATTCCACTCATCGTCATCGACCGCTGCCTTCTTTCGTTTTGCAGACAGTGGCCCCCACAGCCCTTGCTGTTTTAATAAAGCCTGCATCTTGATCTGCCATATAGCGAAGCTGTTCTTCCCCGTGAACTTTTCGATCTTCATGTTCACCGACGTCATTCTTCTGAATCGAAAAACCTAGTCTGATTTCCAGCCGCAGCTCTGGTACCACTTGTCATAAACGCTCTGCTACGGATCGGGAAATCGCCAGAATCGATAAAGCAAGAATATGAAAGCGAGAATCGAAAAACATAGACACACGATTTACATGGTTCACTAACACGATGTGTGTTAGCTACGTCCACGGGCGAGAGAGAGCCAATTTCACTATATGGAGGAGATTACAGATTACAGAGGAGTATGAGAAGTATTTATAGTACTTCTCCATGTGGGTCTAAACCTAATCCAATCTTGCAAAGGAAACGGTTATAGACCAGGCCCAGAACCCGAACCCAAATAACAGCGAGACCCCCAATTACCAGTCGTAGCGGCTGATAGTCCGATTCAAGTCACATCAACAATGGGAATGGGAGTTGTTGTGAGAGGTGGAATAGTAAGCTTGTTGATTTGTGTACCAGTCAGGGGATTCATTTTGATAATGCCCCAACTTGTGACACTTGAAGCATTCAACAATAAATGCTCCCTATTCCAGCCTCTTCCTCCCCTTCCTCTTCCTCTACCTTGAAAGACTCCAGTCCTGCCTGCTCCCCTGCCACCTCTACCTCCATTTTTATAAGCCCTTCTCAAAGCCCGATCCTCCTCAACCAAAGGCTTCATGTGAAACTTTTGTTCATGAACCAATAAAGAACTCTGAAGAGCATCAAAAGAGAGGGTCTCTATGTCTCTGGACTCCTCTATGGAGCAAACAACATAGTTAAACCTCTCAGTTAATGTCCTCAGAATTTTCTCCACTATCTTAACATCAGGCATCTCCTCTCCATAATTCCTCATATCATTTGCAATAACCATAACTCTACTAAAGTAAGCAGAAAAGATTCACCCTCTTTCATCTCAAGAACTTCAAAAGTCCTTCTCAAAGCCTGCAACTGTGCATTCTGGACACGAGCACTCCCTTGGTACTTTGTTTTCATAGCATCCCATAGTTGTTTTGAAGTAGCCTTGTTGGTGATGGTTTTCATGATAGACTTGTCAATGGAGCTGAACAGGTAGTTCTTAGCCTTGAGGTCCTTCAGCCAGAGATCTTCAAGAGTTTTGCTCTCCATAACAGACAGATGAGTTCCAACAGCAGGTTTTGTAATGCCATCACTGACCACAGACCAATACTCTTTGGATCTAAGGAGATTCTCCATGAGAAGGCTCCAATTATCAAAGTCTCCATCAAACTTCGGCAGTCCCACTTGAGCAAATGCATCATTGTCACTCATTCTTGCAGCACACTTACAACTCTCAGAATACAACTATGACCCTCACCCTTGAAAGGATAAACTCACAAAGTAACTCTTGTGTTTCCCAAACCCAGAACCTATCAGCACACTTGATTTCACTCTTCAGTAATCACTTAGATCTTTTGCTTGAAAGCAACAATGCTTACAGCTTGCTAATGCTCTAATACCAAATGTTGAACACTATTGTATTGCAATCTGACAATTTTATTGAATGAAAAGAGAAATAACTTATACTAGTTGATGCAAGGCACATATCTCGGCTGCTACCAATGTTCCTTGACCCTGAAATCAAGCTGACACGATCCGCCAAACAACCTAGCAAGCTGAAAGTTCTCAACAACCTAACTAACACGAACTGGACTCAATTGTACCAAAAACACAAATAAGGGACTAACTATGCAAAACTCCAAACAATGCAGTTTCGCTTTATTACACAGACAGACAAATTTAAACTTGTTCTTTGGCGCTCTCTTCAATCCTTGTGGAACAAGGATTTCTTCTTAACACCAACTCCAACCTTCGCCACCACTGCCCACCTACGACCGCTACCACCTCCACCCGTCGCCACCACTACCTGCGACCGCTAGCACCCTCCAAG